GTTTCCAGTGGATAAGACAACTTTCTAGGCATGGAAATCGGCGCCGAAGTTGGGAGTCATTTTATACGCCGGGTCGCCTTATACGCCAGAAAATACGGTATATTATTATGAGTTTTAGTCTTGCCTTAGGCATGAAAGCTGGCTGGGTGACTTTAGGCCACAGTGTCAGATTTGGGTAACAATTCTTATTGCAACCAATGAGTCAACTCTTGGTTGATTTAAAAAAAAAAAAAGGTTGGACCCTGCACTTCTAGGAAAACATTAGTAAGAAAAGAATTTTTATTTAGTTATTTATATGTGTTATAGGCAAAATATTCCTTTTGAAGAACACCTCCGCCTTCAGAAAAGACTAAAAGATCTGCAACGGAGACATAATGAATTCCGCAGACTGATCCTTTTTCCCAACCTCCCAATACTGAATCCAGCTAACTTACTATCTTCATCTTTGCTTCCTGGACCAGAATTACCCTTCCCTCTCCTTCAGGTATGTAATATTCCCATATGACAGAGTAGGTAATAATGTTTTGAAAAACAGAAAAAATAAAGTTCATATTTTTATAGTTTTCAGTAATAAAGTTTGATGAAACAGTATAATAGTATTAAAGAGAAGTGAGAACTTTATTTGTAATCATGCTATCAATTTATTTTGCAGTTCAGGTTCTGCTATTTCCAAAATGTTTTACCGTATTTAACCAAAAGTTATATGATAAACAAAACCTAACCTTAATTATGCAGCAAAGTAGTAATACCATTTTTTAAATTATATTGATTTTGGTTAAAATTATACAATTTCTTTATAATGATTTTTACGGTGAATGTTACCTAAACTTTTGGTTAAGCTATATAATAGTCTACTAATTCCTTTGCCTGCAGGAAAGTCCCTATAAATCAATATAATAAACATCTTTATTGTGTCCATTCTATTAAAGTATTGTGTTTGTTTTGTTTTTTGCTTATATAATTGAATATATTAGAATCAGAACATAAAATTGAAAGCCAGAACTAGTAGCCTGTTTCTTCCACAGTTGTATAATATCTTTAAAAATGAAAGTGCTAAATAATGTGTTACATTCCTTCCCCCATCTCTTTACCTCTTATGAAGGAGGAGCAACATCAAAGAGAACTTTCACTGCTTCGCAAACGCTTGGAAGAGCTAGAGACCACACAGAGAAACCAATTGCGAGAACTTGGTGCTTCTGCTGAACAACCTCAGTCGGAAATAAGTACTGAATCATACAGAAATAAATTTGTAGAACAATGTGATCTGTCATCTGCAGATGCCAAATAAACCATTAAACACTTTTTGTCTTTTGCCAAAAATTCATCTACAAGTGCCGTGAAATAGGTAAAAACTCTGTTTTACATCATTTGTATTATTTTTAATATTTTTTTAAAAAGATATAATTAAAATATTTGGAAAATAATTTTCTAATTTTAAACTCTAAGAATCATGTTGCACTGTAACATTTTGCTAATAATACTTTTCTCAAATTTTTAATAGTTTGATTCTCTGAAAAGAAAAGAGTCCCTTTTCTACTGTATTCAGGTTGCTATATAAAGTTTCAATTTTTTGTTATTCACAAAGCTGGACTTTTGTAATCTTAAAATACTGAGAAAATTGAAAACAACATTGTTTAAGCTCTGTTATCTTTATATGAATTTTATCCACAATGTTACCTTTGAAAAATATTTTACTATCTGCACTTTAATATATTATGAAATATCAAGAAAAATAATCACGTTTTAAGTGAATATGAATATTGCTTTACCTTCATGCAAAGAATTTTTTTCTGTTTGTTTCAGATCGAAGTTTTGTTAACTAATCAAATCTAATTAAATATATTTTTGTAAAATCTATCTTTTCTGTTTTATTTAATTATTTATTAGCCATAAAAAGCATAATATCAAGTTTAGTGGATTGTTTTTAGTCTACAGTTCCTTAACTTCTCATAAGCTAGGCTAGGAAACACAACCGTTTCTAAAGTATTTCATTAACTTGTTTTAGCCTAAGCTAAATAGGTAAATCATCTCATGAGTTAAAAAATACAACAACCTACAGCTCAGATTCTGCCATTTCTTCAAGGGTTTGATGACAGAATGAAATTATTACACTGTCCAACAAATTTAAGTGATTCTGCTAATCTTACTATTTTTTAGGATTGATATATAGGTGAAGACTATTTTCACTGCCAGTTCCTAGGTATTCAAGTGACTAAATTTGTAAATTAATCAGAATAGTTATAAAGTTAGTTGATAGTGAAACATCTGCTAAATAACAATTCTGAATGGCTCTTGAACTGACATATCACTAAAACTTAGCTAAATGAAGCGTTAGGACTCATCTCTCCAGCTCTACCCAATGGGCTAATTTGATAAGAAAACAGTGTGGGAGGAGCAGTTCATGTGTTGCTGCCATTGACTTTTCTTGAGCTAGCTGTAATGGTCTTAGATATATTTATTTATAGCATTTATTTATAACATGTACATGGCCACTCAACTGGGTAGCATACAAAAGAAAAAAGCATCAGCTGCAACCACAAGGAAAGTAATGCAACTAAAACAATAAAATGGAAATCAGATCAAAATTTATTAGAATTCCTCCAACTGGGATTCCACTCATTCTGATTCAAGATCTGGAAAAGAACCATGTACAGGTAGTCCTTGACTCACAGCCATTCATTTAATGACCATTCAAAGTTATGATGATACTGCAAAAATGATTTATGACCATTTTTCACACGACCATTACAGCATCCCCATGGTCATGTGATCAAAATTCAGATGCTTGGAAACTGACTCATTTATGATAGTCGCAGTGTCCTGGGGATGTGATCCCCTTTTGTGACCTTCTGACAAAGTCAGCAGGGAAGCAGATTCACTTAACAACTGTTACTAACTTAACAATTGCAGTGATTCATTAACTGACAAAGTCATAAAATGGGGCCAAACTCACATAATTGTCTCACTGAGCAACAGACATTTTGGGCTCAATTATGCTCGTAAGTCTAGGGCAGTGGTTTTCATTTGGGGTCAAACGACCATTTCACGGGGGTCGCCAAACAACGCAGTCTGCCATTTTTTTCCCCTTTTCCTTAGCTGTGCTACTCCCTTTTATTCTATTGGCTTTTGAAAGCCAATAGAATAGACTCTCTTGAATAGAGTCTAATTCTATTGGCTTTCAAAAGCCAATAGGAATTGTCCAGGCTGTCTCTGCCCTGCTGAGCCCACCAAAAGTCCCATTCTGCAAACGGTGCTGCACCAGTTGAGTAGTCCTCGACTTACGACTGGTTGAGTAGTCCTCGACTTACGACCGGTTGGGGGTCGCGGCATTAAAAAAGATTGAGAACCACTGGTCTAGGGCTATCTGTATTGACTGCCTTCCTAAAGGCCTGCAGAGTTAGCTATATTTATTTATTTATTTAAATTATATAGCTGCCTACTCTAGGTGGCTTACAAACAATAAAACACCATATGGAAAAACATAAAAAATAATAATAAACCCCCACCCACCCCCTCCATGACAAAATACAGTCAGATAAGCCATTTGATGGGTACCATCCCACTCCTCAGGACCACTGCAAAACCAAGTCTTCAGGGCCTTAAGAAAGAGTGTCGGGGGGGAGGGGAGTCCAAAATTCAAAATTCAAAAGAAGGAAATTATTCTGAAGGATATTCCAAAGGAATAGAGCTCCATGTGGGATAGCACATTGCAAAAAGCAAGTCCCACATGTTGATTTCTTTTTAATTGGGATACATCACTCCTAAATAACTGAAGATTTTTATGCTGTATAATGATTTTGGACAAGTTCTTATTGGCATTTTACCCAATGAATTCATTGCAGCACATACAGAATTAGGCATTCTGTTTATATGAAACTAGTAACGGGCAGAAATGGTCTGCACTCCAGTGGTTTGAGCCCTGCCACCGCTAGTCCTCTGGCTCCTACCACCCAGCAGTTTGAAAGCATGAAATATTGTGAGCAGATAAATGGATACCACTTTAGTAGGAAAAAACTTCCTGTATTTGTGTGTGCAGCGAAAGGAAGCTGGCACTGGACCTGACCAGACACTAAGCAAATGCAACACTAGGTAAGGCAAGGCAAGACCCTCAGAGGAGCCTGGAAGAGCCAGTAACCCAAGCACTGCTCATCAGCTAGTGTAAGCTAGTTCGTCCCCTACGGTGCACTAAGGACAGACACGCGAATGCCAAACAGAATGAACAAGCAATTTAGGCTATCAGGATTGCATTGTGTGTACCATTTGTAGCTTTCCATGATGTTGTATGCCATACATTAAATAAATAAATCTATAATAGGCTTAATGATGGACATTAAGCTGAACATATAACTGATGCTACTGGAAATATAAAACCAGACTCAGAGTATTTGTATAGGTTTACAATCGCCCCAAAAAGATGGTTTGGAATGTTCCTCAAGCATCAGATATTACTGGATTCCTAAGTGAAGGCTGAATTTGCCCAATTAAACTGTGACGTTTATGTCCAGTCATGAGCTACCCATCTTGATCCCATCATTGTAGAATTATCCTTGAAAAGGTGAATGGATGAAGCAATTGTGCAATTTGGCGTGTAGATAATTCAAGATATAGGAACTAAAAATGTGTGATGTACCAGGCAGAATTGATAGTAGTATTAATTTTTTATATCCTAAACAGCTTAGGATCTGACTTTCTGATGAATCACTTTTTCCTTTCAAGCCTTGTGTGGTGCTAAATTGCTGGAAAGATCTTTTTGCTGTCAGGCTCACATGTCACATATGGAAGAGGACTTTTCCTGTTTGTACAACATTTCCTTCAGAATTCAATTGGTCTCCATTCTCTTCAAACAAAGTTCTTCTGTAAATCTTCATTTTATGCAATTTTAGTACAAATTTAACGTGTTAACTTTCTGATTTTTCTCAAAACAATTGTAAGCTACTTTGTGTTTTCACTAGAGCTGAAGCATTGACAATAAATACATAAATACTATCTGGTTGATTGATTAAAATTTTGAAGTTTATTTTTTATTTTTCCATTTTTGAAAATTATAATTCTGGAATAAAACTGATTTCTGTAAAAAACAGATTTCTAAATTATCTGCCCATTAAAAATGCTATACTTGTTTTCACATTGATTTTCTTGAAAAACTGGAACATATACTAAAGTTTCAAATCAAACAAAAATAAATATTGCAGTTTATATATGTGAAATGAAACATTTTACATATTCATGCAATATATTTTCAAACTCCATATATACTTGAAAACAATTACTTTAAGCCTAATAGATTGGAATTATATGCATCTATAAAATTTAAAATAATTTTAAATTGTTTTACACATTTACTATAGGAATGCTAAAATGTGGCTTGTTTACAGAGATTGTCAGAAATATTTTATTTCAGTAGTTCTTTTCAATAATGCAACATACAATAAATACATTGCAATTTTCAAAGAACTTTTTAAAATCCTGTGTACAAGCTCCAGCTAAAACCAGCCTTGGACATTTCCCACTGCACCCCACCCCATGCCTCCATATATATATATATGCTTATTGGAAATTGTTTCCCCAAAAAACAAGTACAATCCCTGGTCCCGCATGTATTAATTTAGTAACTACTGTTCAAAATGAATTACTTATCAAATAAAGTGCTCCACTTACAGTACTGATCCTTTCTGCATGCACAAGCTACTTTCACGCAGAGAAACATAATTATATATACACATTTCCCTGTGCCCTTCCAGCGGAAATGGAACATCTAAAACACCATGACATTTGAGGAAGGAATAGATGTTTAGGGAGAAAAAGAACAGAGAAAATACAATTGAACAGAAATCAACACAGAATTAATTAGGATGAAAAAAGGGAAGAAAGAACCGGGGGGGAGGGGGGAAGATCCTGTTTAGGTATTTTTAAAAAGGCTATTTTTTTGGAAATCCCATTCCAAGTACCTTCCTTGCTGCTCTGTTTTTTGGAGTAGACTTAACAGTTACTGAAAGCAAGCCAGCTCTTGATGCCTATCAAATAGGAAGCCTGAGTGGTCTTTTTCATATATTTTTTTCTTTCACAGGCACCACCATCACCATTTTGCCCTTCAAAAGAGTAGCACTAGTGCCTGGGCAATAACTGGCAGATATTCTGAAAGCAACTTACATTTCTCAGTGTTGTGCAAGTGTTTAACTCAAGCTGGTTTAGAACCACCATCACCCTCTTTCCTTCCTGACTCTGATGAATAAGAATAACTGTCTTCAAAATGAAACTGAATTCAGGAACTCAATTGTGTGGGGGGTAGGAACATACAGATTCACTGTATCATTTTTGATACAATTTAGTTTGGGAAACCCTACTCTCATCTTCAGAGACATCCATGCTATGTAACATTGAGTTGTATGTTTTGTTCATTCTTATGTTACTCATCCAATAATTAACAGGCAATTATTGGGGGGAGAAATGTTCAGCACCTATTGATAAATATGACACATTGTGCTTAATATTCTTTTAATTTCGTAAAACCTATTTTCCACATGATGTAAAACATTTTCTGAAGGAAGGAAAAAACAACATCGGCCTCAATGCTTTGCTTTTTATTTTTACATAGATATATTCAATGAGAAATAGACAAGTCTCTTCTCTGCCTGTCTACACCTTAGAACAGGGGTTCCCAACAGGAAGTGTGAGACAATATTCTAGGGGGTGCAAAAACTTGGCTTTAGAAGTTTCAAAATGATAGTGTATATGCATAATTCGTTATTTTGAAATTTTGTAAGGGGCAGGAGAATATATCAGAAACGTTCTAAGGGTGCAGGGTATAGAAAAGGTTGGGAGCCGCTGCCTTAGAAGAAACAGTGTGGGAATGGCTCTCCCCTCCATTTTCCTATTAGACCAGTGTCCCCAACCTTTTTGGTTTCACAGACTGGCAGCGGCAGCAGCGGGGGAGGGGGGGAATGGTTTCACGCATGCAACCTAATCCCACCCATGTGCAAATAAAGTTTCATGCATTCGGTCGGGGGTTGGGGACCTCTGTATTAGAATACATCTATTTGTATTTTGCTGGACAAGCTAACCATGCTGGATTGGGAATTCTGGGAGTTGAAATCAACAAATCTTAAAGTTGCCAAGTTTGGGCACCCTTCTCCTAGAGAATCATCAGCCTATAATGGCTAGTTAAGCTTGCCAATGTCATTAGGGTTTTCCTAGCAAGAAGTATTGGGACCAGAACCTGATATAATGTCTATTTCTTGAGGCACTTTTAAATTTTTCTGTTTAATTTTTTTTAAATGATACAGTAGATGCAAACCTCTGCTGATGTGTTCCTTGCAAATATTACTCTGAGCAGGATGCAATAAAGAAACTCTAAATATTGGAGCTGAGCAGTGACTCATATTTGAAGGCAAGGAGACACTTTAGAGTGTGTACATAGCACTCATTATATCAAACCTATCCATTCCTTGGGATTCTGCTATAATTGTGGTGCACCACCCCAATCCCAGAAAAAGATACAACTTCCTGAAGGAGTAGCAGACAATATCGTTTTGCCTTCAAATGCAGACACTGCAGGGCCCTATAAAATATAGCTGAGAAAATTGGTATTCCATCTGCAGGGAAAGCACAGAAGTTGAGCCCTCCTGCACATTTTCTTTATAGTCAACAATAAAATTATGATACATTTATGAATCTTGTTTTAAAAAAACCTCTTTGTAATTTTTCTTTTGCCCTTATATTTACAATGCATGTATATACTAATAAAAATACAGATAGGAAAGGCCTTCATCTCCATTTTTTAAAAGTGCAGATACAATGATGGAAAAAATTCAAAGTGTAAATTGCGTTCAGAAGACAGGGAAGTTGAGGCCAATGCAAACCACTTCCATTATTCTGCCAAGAGACTTACATGGATGTGTCCATAAGATCTTCAATGGATGAACGGGATAAGAAACCGACTTTAACAAGAGATGAATTACGTTTCTGTATCAATGTGCTGGAAATCTTCCCCTCCATTTCAGTCACACATCACTTTTAGTTATGCCACAATGTGCAACTATTTGGAGGAAACTGAAACTCTGCACTTTGTTATCAAACCATATAGCAACTGAAAACTCTCTAATGATTTTGATTCTCAGATATGAATAACAACAGGATATATTTGTGCTTATCTGAAACCAAGAGAGAAGTTTTTTAAGGCACTTAAGGCACTATGCTGCTCAATGACAGCATAGAAATTAGACACAGTTGTGAACTATATAACACAACCAGTTTGTTTATATAAGATCTGTATTTCAGTTTGTTTTTAATTCAAAAAATTCAACCAAAATTACTTGATTGTGTCAATCTAGGAGGGAAGATCTGCATAGAGAGATTGCTTCAGCTGCCAGCAGCAGGAAGGTATACTTCTCAGTCCAGGCTCCACTTTGTTGACACATCTGGAGATGGCTGTTCCAATCTGATGGCATCCATTGCTGCTTTTGTGCGAATTGGGTTGGGCAATATTTTCAATTTGGTTCCATAACACCAGCAATTATACAATTAAATTCCTACGCCCATTTGCATTTTTTCTTTTCATCCATTAAACCTTTTATATTTAAGAGTTGCTGTCGGGCTTCTTCAAACCCTCGTTCTGTCTCTAATTTATTCAGTATCTATGAGAACAAAGGAATGTGTGCTTATTTTGCTTATTAAAAACAACAACAACAATTTCCCCCCAATGTTAAAAATACGTTCTGCTTAAGTAACCATCCCTTCTAAAGTCAGGCTATTTTTGCACCTTCCTTTACAAGTTATTATTAATCACAAGATGAACAACACTTCTGTTGGCACTAGCAACCTCAATTAAAATCACAAGTGTATCTGTAAATACAACTCAAATAGCAATAGATGTATGTTGTATATCTGTTAAAAGCAGAAAAACTTGAGTGCTAAAACATTTTCATTACCTGCCAGCCAGATATAAAATGCTCTTGAGATCATGAAAAAAATGTGATATTCAGTTTGCTTGGAAACTAGTTGGATATTACTTAAATCAGTCTAGTTAATCTACCTCACATGCATTTTCTGTGTTTTACTTATGAAAATCGTAGTTTGCCATAAAAATAAGATTTGTTTCTGAAGTGTTGCACAAGACAAAGAAGACAGCAAAGGCCAGGGACAAGACAATGCAAAATCCGAAGGAATTCTGGATTCTCCTACATTAAATTTTTGCACTTATTAAGTCTTAGAAAAGGATGGATAACTTTGCCAAACTACAGGTTGATTTCTTCATTTTTTTCCCCCCAGCCAGATGGTTTTATTAGCCGGTTTGTGAAAAACAATGCTGTATTGCCAGTAGGGAAACAGCACCTGCCTTAAGAATAAAATGCAAAGTTACTGAGGTATAGGAACTCAGTAATTACAAAAAAGATCACAACCTATTGCTTCAGGGTCATTAATCCATATTAATGACCCTGAAGTGTCCAAATTAAGGACACTTAATTTACTTCCACTTACTTTCTGCTCAGTTCCTCTGTCCCTCCTCAGTCCTAACTACAAGGGCAGGAGTGGAATATTGAGGACTGCCAGTGCACACACACATGGGACCAAACAGAAATCTTAGAGTTAAAATAATAAAATATATGATATGCATCGCTAATACAGCAACCGCTGTCTTCCCTAACTGGAATGTTCCTGAGCATTCTATGCCATTCAGAAGCCCACAACTAACCAGGCTAGATGATTAGGGGAGGAAAAAAAACCTTACCTTATCAAAGTATCTTGTTATATATTGATAAATTTTATTCAAGGCCTCGGTCTCATTAAACTCATTTTCATGTTTCTAGAAAAAAACAAAATGTTTGAGGAACTGTTTAAAGATAGTATTATTATCCATTATTATTATCCATAGTACATACTGTAAAATAGTAAATAATAATTATAAGTAAACATAGAAGGACAAAGGATAATATTACTGTTGTCTTTGATCTATGTCTGAATAAATCCATTAATGGGAACTTTAAATACAATAAGACACAGTTCCATTTACAACATACGTCTAAGTTCCAACTACAGCAAAAATAATAGACAGATACCTGTGATTCCAGAATTAAAAATTCTTCTAGCTCTGCTCTGGGCAATGGAGGCAAATCCCTTATTGCTTTATAGAAAGCTTTAACTTCCTCTTTATAAAGTGGTATATCCTTAGCATAGAGAAGTTTGTTTGTTGGTGCTTCCTTTGAGGAAGAAGAAAAGACGTGTCATAAAAGTTAGCAAGATGCCTCATTTGTAAGGGATGTCAAAATTAGGGAACAATCAGTTCTGGTCATCAGTCCTATCAGGCAATCTAGATGGACATGATAAGACTGTTTGCAGGTTTGCAGTCATTCTCTGAAATCTCAGAACAAAAATTTAGGAATGTGTCATTGGAATGTAGTCTTCCAGCCAGAACAGCAGGCAAATACATGTCTGGTTCTTGACAGGTGCACCAAAACTTTCCTAGGAACAGCGACACAAGAATTGGGGAGCTCAGAAAGCTAGCATAGGGTCCTTTTTAGGCAGTTGGACAACTCTAGAAGAGAAAGGAGCTTTTGCATCTAATCCCAATTTCTGACAGTGTGATTTTTTTTTTCACATTTCTACTCTGGGCACCCTCCTGGTTTAAGAGTGGGCTGTCTGTCAATCCTTTCTTATAAAAACTTTGCTTGTTCTAAATATACACCTGTTCAGAGCAACTAGCCCTTTCTCAAACTATCATTACAAAATTTTAGAGCAATTGATGCAAAATGATCACAGTTTTTTGATAATTAGGAAAAATTAATAATTGTTTCACAGAAACTGGGGCAACTGGCTAAATAGTACCCCTGAGTGACCCTAGTCTAGCAGACATCATAATATATCCAAGAAGCTAGGTAAGAACTTGTTAAGCTAATACATTCCTCTGTACAGGTTATGAAGCTATTCTAAAAAACTGCGGACATAGAAGATACGAAGTTGTATTCTCCAAAGACTATGGACATGGCTCAGGAAATACTTTTTCAACAAGTCACATTTAAAGATGAAAAGATCATTTTCAATAGGAGTAGTGCTTGGAAGACTGTAATCCTGTTAACTCACTTATCTGGAAGTTAGTCCTGCACAACTTAACAGGACTTACTTTTTAGTCCTGGGTTCTCTCTGAACTTGATTGTTTGCAAAACCCACACTAATTAGTACTCCTGGTGTTACCTAGTTGGGCAATGAAACAGCTGCAAGCAAACAAACAACCTCAGAGAGTACCAAGAATTCCTGTCAGGTTAAACTCAAGAATGACAGAGATTAATTCAGTCAGAGTTCAGTTGTTTATTTGCTTATACACAATAGACAGAATCTTGACAGACTGAACCCTTACTACTATTATACTAACAGGAGATTCTAGAGCAGTGGTTCTCAACCTTTCTAATGTCGCGACCCCATAATATAGTTCCCCATGTTGTGGTGACCCCCAACCACTTATACATCACCGGGTGCCAGGGGTGTGGCCCCAAAAAATGGGGAAAAAATGGCGGATAGCCTTGTTTGGCGACCCCCGTGAAATTGTTGTTCGACCCCAAATGGGGTCCCGACCCACAGGTTGAGAACCACTGTTCTAGAGAATGATTATCCTAACTCTCTTCCTTTGTCACCTATCCAGCTCCAGGCTGGGCTGCCTCTTGTCTCCCCACCTTCCTTTCTGAAATATGCTCCCTCCTTCCTGGGAAACTTAAAAAAGAGGCTCTGGGTATGCATGAAAAATAAGATTCTACCTTTCCCAATTGTTGCTCTGACAGAGAAAATGCATCCATAAATGCTTGTGCAATGACTGACAGGCAGCCGTCTATATGTGGAGTCTTTTTAATATCAAACACAAATTGAGGATTCTTCAGAATATTCACCCAGAATCGAAGAGGCAGACTAAACAAAAAAAGATATTAAAAACAGTTATATTGAAATAATTAAATACAAATCCTTCATGGAACAATCTAGCAAAAATTTACTGTCAAAAATGCTAACCAAAAGTAACATAAAAATCATTTTTACTGTCAATTGATGAACACATTTCCAACATGCAGTGCTAATAATTTCTGAAATTGTTGTGTGTATATGCATGTATGTACTCCTAAGCAATTATGGATGACTTACAAATTAAAAAAAGAGCAATATATATACAAGTAAAAAGAGGCCATGGCTGACTGGGAGAACAATACATCCAGCCATTCAGCAAACACAATTAACATAAAGACTTTGGAGAACAACCATGTTTTAAAAAGTTTCTTAGATTTTTAAAAGTTTCCAAGGGTGAGAACTGCCTTAATCACCTGGTGGATATTGTTCCAAAGCCCAGGCATTGCAACAGAGATGGCATGCTTCCCACAAGATGGCACGATTTAATCTTTGGGGCTTAAGGCACATCCATCTTGCTTGTTCACACTAGATGGGTAGAAACAGTTGGAGATAAGCAGCCTCTCGGAAAGCCAGGCCTAAGCCAGGCCAAGTACTTTCTTGCTCTGCTGCATTCTGAAACAGTTATGGTTTCTTGATGGTTTTTAAGGGTGGTCCTATCCAGAGCATGCTATAATAATCTGATTGTGAAATGACTGGTTGGTGAGTAACTGTCTGAAGGGCCTCATAATTTAGGAAACTGATGCACTAAACTCTCTTCCAGCAGGAACTGACAGTTGTAGAGGATTGCAGACCATCTCAAATGACGAAGTATATCCCACTGAAAGTTAGTGTATTGGGGGAGTGGCTTGAGTAAACATAGCCACTTAGTCTTCTCAAGACTGAGTCGGTTTTCCCCATCCATACCCATACAGCCTGCAGGCATTAAGCCAGGACTTTAACAGTGTCACTTTACGAACTCAGAGTCAATATATAAGTGAATATCACCAGCAGACTGATAATACCTGACCCCAAACTGACAGTTGACCTTACCCAGCAGCTTCATGTATATGTTAAACCTCATAATTTCATGTATTATAGAAGAGAAGAAAGCCTGTAGTACCTAACAAGAAGCTATCACCTCAATTGGTCCTCCCCAATTAACATCAGTTGATACTAGCTGCAGACAAAGGAGGAGACTGTAACATATGCTTTCTACCCCATGCCCAAAGTCAATCTGAAAGGATACTTTAGTCAATGGTATCGAAAGCTGCGGATAAATAAAAAAACACCAGGATCAATATACCACCTCAGTCCTAGCTTCACCACAGGTAATCAACAAATGCAACCAATGTTATCTATGTGCCAAACCTTGGCCAAAAAACTGACTGAAATTGGTCCAAAATAACTGCTTCCTCCAGGGTCCTCAGAAGTTGAAGTTTGACCACCTTCTCTATCATTTTCTCTAAAAAGACATAATTGTCACAGACTTTTGGGCCCCATGATGGTTTCTTGAGGAGAGGATACACAATAGACCACCCTTTATTCAAGGAGGCCAACACTACTGCACATACCCAACCACAAGTCACCTCATGGGCAGCTTTAACCATAGAAGGGGAATTTGGATTTAACAGGCAAATGGCTGAGCTAATAGTCTTGTTCACTTCATAAGGAGTCACAGAATCAAATTCACTCCAAATAATCCCCGAGGACTTTGTCTCATGCATCTCAGCTGGACCTATTTAATCACAGTTGAACTACCAACATCTTCATCTGCCAAAAAGCAAGAATATTCTATAGTCTGCCAACTTACAGTGAGCACATAAATACCTGTTGGTTTTCCAGATATGAACCACATCGGGATCTGTAATTTTTTTATTTTCAGCTTGAGCATCCAGAAAATCAAAAAAATATTTAATAGCAACTGGGGCTTTATTGTTAGGCAAATTCCAAATGCTTCTAAAGAGCTTTTCAACAGTTGAGTGGATAGCAACCTATGATAAAACAAAAAAATATTTTATTATAGTATATATATAAAAAATTGCTTAGGGTATAAATAATAAAAAAGGCAATCTAAGCTACAACTACATACTGTCTGATAAGACTGGAACCAATACACTCCAATTAAGCTTAACATATCTAGAACCTCACATCTGGAACCTCATGCAGGGAGACATATTAATACATATTTACAAATTACATTTACAACTCTTCTTTTGTCTACGAAGATTGACACAATATATGTGCTTTTACTCAACCATCATTCTCAGAAATACTTTATCCTCACAATCATTTGATAAAGTGTCATGAATGCAGCCCTTCTTAGAACTCCTCAATGTGTAACACAGTATCCAATGATTCTCAATTTATGAATGTCAAAGAGGAAGCCTTCTTACATATATATGGATGTACACAGCCATGATTTAATGCATAATTATATGTATTTAATGATGTCAGTATTCAGTTATATATAAAGCCTTCCCAAAATGCTGTTAAAATAGAAAGTTTTGTGATATATTCATTTCCCCAGTGCTTTTTAGCCTCCACATGCAAGTAATTCATTTTGTAAGGTAATAGAATGTATACTGAATAATTATAGCATTATTTTATGATTAGAAATAAAACGTTGGAATCACCTTAGTAGAGAGAAGTTTCGTAAGATACATTTCTTTGACTTTAAATTTTTGTTTTCCTTTATGTTTTGCACTCTGTGTTTCTTTGGCTGCTTCTGCATCTGGTAATATCTATAAGAAAGGTTTACACAGATGTTCATGGAAATACTGCGATTAAGCAGCTAAACAAATGACTAATTAATAGGTATTAAGCTGACTTACCAGATGGCAATAATCCTCAGAATATTCTCCATCTGGTCAACATAGTGAAGAGGGGGAAAAAGGGTAAACTGAATGTACATATAAGGATCAAGCTATGACCTAGAAAGTAGGCTGTTGCTGGGGATAAATGCTGTAAAACATGCATGGTTAGCTAAATTTATTCCTATTCAGATTACTACCAATATAGATGGTAAGATCTTTGATCATGGTATTCCTTTCTATTAACTAGTACAATTAATATTTAAGTGGAAATGGATGCTTGATTACAAATATCAGAAAATATTATTCCCAACATCTGGAAGGGGTAAATTAGTTTTCAGTTAGGTTTTCAAAATCAGGTTTCCCAGGACTTCTATGAGTTGCAAGGCATGTAGTATTCAATTTGTCTTTCATATTGTTTGATTTGGAGAGAATTGAAATCCTGGATGGGGCAAGTGAGCTTCTTAGAATCATATAGTTGCCCAATATTGAGAACAGAATATTTAATTTTTCTTCAGTTAAACAATTCAGTTCTTATCATATTGCTATATATCTAAAATTAGTACTATATTCCCAGTTCATATGAATGTCTGAACGATAATTCAATTATAATTCAAAGAATGATCAGAAACTTAAATTTTCAAAAATCCTATATGCTATATAAATGTTATTTGTTTTACCAGCTGATATATCTTGTTTCTTCTTAAATACTTTCATTTTTGCTCCATCTGAAATCTGAAATCATATAATAAAGCATGAAATTAAAATCTGTATCAAATGTCATACTTTACATATTCTCTGTATGTTAACATAAAATGTATGTTATAAATTAGTATATACCCCCCCCTAACAAAGACAAATTTTCAAAACCTTTGGATGTTTATTCTTACCTCATAATGACCTATGGTATTCAGCTTAGTAACCCCATTTTCCAAAATCACTGAGGAACCATCTACATCCAGAAGTTCTTTTGCTTGGGAAACAGACTCAAGAGCTGACAACACAAATAAAATAGTTAATCTGTGCTTAGTTTTAAAATGGTAAGAGTGGCCTTTTCTTGTGAAATTATTATGCTATTATGTGAAGCAAATTTATGCTTATTGTATAGCACTGTTTGTTTTGTATGGTTCACATAAAAGATGCGGCTTGAAATTGTATCCCATTTCTTCTCTAGTCATTTCTTCACTATCCCAAATTCTTTATCACAGTAGAATTTTGTGAAAAGCTTCAAAGTGACTAGGCAATTGTGCTATTGTCACTGCTGAAGGGGATATTTCCAGTACATATTCTAGGTCAACAAAAATTGAAACACTAAAAACTATTTGTGGCCAATGCTACGTACTTGCTCACTGATGCAATTTAGTATTTTTATGATTGGATCAATTTTATTTGATTTTTTTATCACTGTCCATTTCTCTGTAACAACCTGGATGGCTAGTAACTTATAAAAAACACAGTATAAAATAAAGAATAAACAATGTATAAATCCTAACTTGATAACTGAATAAAGTCCAACTAACCTCACAGACTCCAACTAAGCTCTCAGCCCCCATGCCTGGAATCCAATTCATGTCTTAGAACTTTCTGACAAGTCGGCCAGTCTTGCAACAGAAAAGAATCCCTTTCTGAGTCCTGCAAGATGACATTCTGTAACTGATGGGACTGACGACACATCCCTCCTACCAGACAGGACAGATGGAAACAACTGGGGAGAGGCAGTTTTACAATAAAGCCCCAGGCTGTGGAGGGTTTTGTTTGTTCAGTTTATATAGCCCTGCCCCCCATCTCAAGACATACTTGTTATAGCTGACAAGTGTATTGTCAGCTTGAATTGTACCTGAAAGCATCTGGAGAGAAGCGCAGCAGAACAAATATAGCAGGGGTGCATTTCTATTGTGCCTTTTCAGCAAAAAGCCACAAATGTATTTACAAAATAATCCAAGACATATTCAGGTAATAAATTATATTAAATGACTTCAATCTGTTAATCTTACAGTTCATATGTTAAATAGCAGAGAAATAATAATTTTTATTTTTTAAAAATGCAAACCATAACTATTAAAATAAATAATAAAACAATTACTGTATACAATTGTGGAGAAAGAAAAACAAACAGCTACTTTTGAATTTATAATTAGCATAGCATTGTTAATATCTTACTCAGTCCCATTTCTCTTAGCTGGAGACCATATAGTGATCCGTTCTTGTTCAGAAAGGCCTGTAGGATCTTCTCTTTGGCCTGTCCAATGGTGTCACAATCCAATACTTTAACTTGGATATTCTGAGTAGCACCACTGGCCTCATTTTCTTGGATATTTTCAAAGACAACATTTAATACCTAGAAAAGTGTGAATGTTCATTCAAAGTTACTTAAAAGTTGAAATTGGATAAAAATACACATAACAAGGATTATTACGAATGCCTAACAGTGGCATTGCTGATTTCTAAAATATTATTCTTTATATTTGTTTCTCTTGGAGGAGCCCCCAAGTACACGTTCTGCTTTCCTCAGATACACACAAAATGTGTGTATCTGAGTTGGACTAGATGACCTCCAAGATCCCTTCCAACTTTATTATTATGGATCATCGCACAGTCAGCCAGATGTTCAGACTGGATTTGGCATTTTGTCTACCTATCGAGTCCTTACCCAGGACTTGGGATAGGCAGATGTGGATGTTTGATGGTATTACAGATATCGTTGCAGGATGGAAGCAGTTCCTAGTAAGACCGCCTTTTGCAATTGACTAATAGCGAATTTGTCAATGCCAATGGTGTTCAAGTGGTGCTCCAGTTGTTTTGGGATTGCTCCCAAGGAGCCTATTACTATTGGTACTACCCTTGCTTGCTTTTGCCACAGTCTTTCTATTTCTATTTGTAGGTCTTTGTATTTTGTTATCTTCTCCAGCTCTTTCTCTTCTATTCTGCTGTCTCCAGGCACTGCCACGTCCACTATCCAGACTTTTTTGTCTTTCTTATCGACAATGGTTAAGTCTGAGGTGTTATGTTGCAGGTGCTTGTCTGTTTGAATTCTGAAGTCCCAGAGCAGTTTAATTTTATCATTTTCTATGACTCTCTCTATTTTATGATCCCACCAGTTTTTGCTTACAGGCAAATGATATTTTTTGCAGATCTTCCAATGCACCATTGTTGCTACTTTGTCATGCTGCTGCTTGCTTTGTATAGGCGGCACTTACTGTCTGTTGCTGTCTTCTCAATTTTGACTTTATATGCATTTGTCCTTAAGGCTTGGTCTTGTGCAGCCAGAATTAGTCCCTCAGTCTCTTTCTTCAATTTTCCTGCTCTTAGCCATTGCCAGGTCTTGTTATTATCTGCTTTCCCAGCTATTTTTTTAATGTATTGGCCATGTAGTGCTTTGTCTTCCCATGCCTCAATTCTGTTCTTCATTTGGTTTTGCTTGTAGGCCAGTTTGGTCTCTCCAGCAGTCAGTAAGCCTTCCTGATATACTAATTTCAGTGCATCTTCCAACTTTATTACTATTATTGATCATCGCACAGTCAGCCAGATGTTCAGACTGGATTTGGCATTTTGTCTACCTATCGAGTCCTTACCCAGGACCTGGGATAGGCAGATGTGGATGTTTGATGGTATTAAAGGTATCGTCGCAGGATGGAAGCAGTTCCTAGTAAGGCCGCCTTTTGCAATTGACTAATAGCGAATTTGTCAATGCCAATGGTGTTCAAGTGGTGCTCCAGTTGTTTTGAGATTGCACCCAAGGAGCCTATTACTATTGGTACTACCCTTGCTTGCTTTTGCCACAGTCTTTCCATTTCTATTTGTAGGTCTTTGTATTTTGTTATCTTCTCCAGTTCTTTCTCTTCTATTCTGCTATCTCCAGGCACTGCCACGTCCACTATCCAGACTTTTTTGTCTTTCTTATCGACAATTGTTAAGTCTGGGGTGTTATGTTGCAGGTGCTTGTCTGTTGAATTCTGAAGTCCCAGAGCAGTTTAATTTTATCATTTTCTATGACTTTCTCTATTTTATGATCCCACCAGTTTTTGCTTACAGGCAAATGATATTTTTTGCATATCTTCCAATGCACCATTGTTGATACTTTGTCATGCCGCTGCTTGTAATCAGTCTGTGCAATCTTCTTGCAACAGCTTACCAAGTGGTCCACTGTTTCTTCAGCTTCTTTGCATAGGCGGCACTTACTGTCTGTTGCTGTCTTCTCAATTTTGACTTTATATGCATTTGTCCTTAAGGCTTGGTGTTGTGCAGCCAGAATTAGTCCCTCAGTCTCTTTCTTCAATTTTCTGCTCTTAGCCATTGCCAGGTTTTATTATTATCTGCTTTCCCAGCTATTTTTTTCATGTATTGGCCATGTAGTGCTTTGTCTTCCCATGCCTCTATTCTGTTCTTCATTTGGTCTTTCTTGTAGGCCAGTTTGGTCTCTCCAGTAGTTAGTAAGCCTTCCTGATATACTAATTTCAGTGCATCTTCATCATTGTTCTTCAGATATTCTTCCAAAGCCATTTTTTCTTCTTCAACCATCTGATGTACTTGTAGCATTTCACGCCCACCTATTTGCCTTGGTAGATAAAGTCTATCAATATCACTGCATGGATGAAGGGCATGATTCATTGTCATTATTTTTCTGGTCTGCCTATCCATTGCTTTTAGTTCTGCTTGAATCCAGTCCACTATTCCAGCTGTGTACCTAATGACTGGGATTGCCCAGGTGTTGATTGCCTTTATGGTATTTCCTCCATTGAGTTTGGACTTTAAGATCTTCTTCACTCTCTTGATGTATTCACCTCTAATCTTTTTCTTGACTTCAGTGTGCTTGATGTTGTCAGCTTGAAGGATACCCAAGTATTTGTAGTACTCTTCCTCATCCAGACTCTTAATGTTATTTTCGTGGGGCATCTTGATTCCTTCAGTTTTCACTATTTTTCCTTGTTTGATAGTAAGTGTGGCACATTTGTCCAAGCCAAACTCCATTACAATATCTTGGCTATATATACGGACAGTGTTGAGCAGCGATTCTATTTCAGATGATGTTTTTCCATACAGCTTCAGATCATCCATGTAAAGGAGGTGGGATAGTTTTATTATTATTATTATTATTATTATTATTATTATTATTATTATTATTATTATTATTACCATCTTCACATACAATCTTTCTCTGCTTTTCTTCTTTATGACTTCTGTGTCCTAACATTGCTTGTCACAATACTTTTGTTCTGGCAAAGGTTTCCTTCATTCCATAATTCATTCTCTATAATTCTTTTTCTATCGATCCAGTCTAGATTTTGTTAGAGAAACTCCATATATCCACCATCCCCAAGCTTTCAGAGTAGTATTTATGGCTAGTATTTATATCCTGTAGTATTTATTTAGGGTGTTTCTTATTACCCTGAACTCCAGTAATTCTAGGTAATACAGATGATAGTTTGCTGAGTTTTAGTTTATTAAAATCTACAGCTAAAGAAAAAACAACCACCAAGGCTTTTTACAGACACATAGGAAGTTATCCATGGGCTTATTAGAATTCTGATCATGCTTCTGCCCATCTTCAGACTAAACTACAACTTGGCCTTAGGCTGTACAAATACAAACCTGCTCCTCTCTTCCCTCACTTTCTTTTCCTTTGAGCTTATTTTTCTAAATAAGTGATTTAGGCTGCTGTAAAGCAATTTCATAGAAAACCCATAGTATCTGATAATATTTCCAGGGCTAAAGAATGAGATTAGTTCCACACTACCTGCCACACCTCTCCATAACTGATCTTTTTCTCATGAAGAAAATGAGCATCAAGTGATACAACTGAGATGGAACAAACTATCAGAATAGCTTTTGGATTCTCCCACAGCTCATAAATAGCTCTCCTTCTTTAATTCTCCCCTGCCCATCTATAGCATGGTAATTCAACATGAACTCAGGATTTCTCTGAGTTTTAAAAGTGCATCAAATATAAACAGAATTTAAACAATTCCATTTCAGTACTGCTGTTTTCAATGTAGCAACTGAATATTTGAATCTAGAAATAATAATCCATAGTTAACTTAGAGAAAACAGAAAAAGAAGTTTAATTTTTCATGGTTTGTTGTTACATGAAATTTAAAAAGTATTTGTATCTGGTCCTATTTCCTCTATTCCCATTAACAGCGTTTTCAATACTATGCTTTCTCTCTTATTATTTGTAGAACTTTGGAATGTTAATAAATACAGGTAGTCCTTGACTTACGACTGCAATTAAGCCCAAAATTTCAGTTAAGTGAGACAGTTGTTAAGTGAATTTCACTCCATTTTATGACCTTTCTTGCCATAGTCATTAAGTGAATCATTACAATTGTTAAGTTAGTAACATGGTTGTAAAATGAATCTGATTTCTCCATTGAGTTTCTTGTCAGAAGGTCTCATATGTGATCGTATGACCTCAAAACACCACAACCATCATAAATAGGAGACAGTTGCCAAGCATCTGAAGTTTGATCACATGATCAAGGGGATAATGCAACAGTCATAAGTGTGAAAAACGGTCCTGAGTCACTTTATTCAGTGCTGTCGTAATTGGAACAGCCACTAAATGAGCTATTCTAGGTCGAGGATTACCTGTATTGTATTGTCTAGTGCATGAATAATATGTATGCTGCATCCTTGATAAGAAGGGAATGGTATTATGTACGTATTTTGAAAGTTGCTTCCTGTTGAAATGACTGATTTGTGGGTGGTGCAACCCGCTAAGCTTAGTTTCAGACACAGAATGATAAAATAATTCCACTGAACTTTATGCTATCTCTGACCTATATATACAGCCATGCGTTGATTGTGTTGAGATGTTATTACCACAAAGACAGAATTGAAAAGATAAAACAAATACTTGGGAGGTATTTTTATGGAATGGAATTGTTTTCAATATTCTGGGGCTTATTCATCTTCAACAAAAATATATATAATTAATAGGATAATTCTTTACCAATTTCCATAACTACTGGTAGGTGAAATAGATACTAAGGCATATTAAATATCTGTCAATTAAATTAAGTTAAAAAGGTCAGCCTTTCTTAGCACTGAATCTTGAGTTTTAGAATACATTATACAAAGCCTTTATTGAAATATATGCTTCTTTCATACAAACTGTCTTGATTCCAGTTATAAAGTCATTAGCTAACATACCACTGTGCTGAATTCAGGGGCTTGCCAGAGTAACCAGTCTTCATTTAGTGTGTATAGGGCCTTGCAAGTTATTACATCCACAGGACCCTTGATAATCCTTTGATTTAAAGTTGTTACAAGTAAAAAGAATGGTTCCCCAACTGTTTCCTATGAAACAAAATGAAATACAGTTATTGTCTTTTGTTGCATTTCTTTGCAACTGTTTAATGAATGTGGTGTGAAAAAAATAGGGAAGGGGAAGTACTAATCTTGCCCCACTTGTTGTAGTTCAAATCTGTTTTTGAAAAATATGCATATTCAATTCACACCAAACTTTAAAACCAAGCTATTTCTTTGTATATATTTGTAACAAATATGATATGCAATGAATTAAATTAACATACAGTTGTTATGATCTACCAATCAGTTACAGATTTTTTTCCTCATGTCAAAGTGGCTTCTGCAGGAAATATTCAGGAATGTTTAAAGTAATAGATTACTTATGTCTCATGTATCAATCTGAATTTATTTAATACATACAGAATGCCAAGTTTATGAAATTTAATTTATTTAAAATAAGAGGCTATCTGCAAAGCTTGTGCCAGTAATCCACAGTGTCAAAATAAAGCAAGATTGGATGATCAACACTGCTAGGAGACCTAGTGTGCTGCAACACAGGAAAATGTGAGCAGGAAAATCTGCATGCAAATAAATCAGTCTCTTGGTCACTGATGTTATATAGCAAAAACATATAATATATAATACTTGCCCGAAGAAAACCAGAAAGGCAAACTGACATCCAGTTTGTAAGCAGCTTTTCTACTACCGATTCTGTACGCCTCAGCATCAGCTTAGGTTGTATATTGCTAGATTGCTCCATCAAATCTTTTGTCAAAACTTCTAGAATATTAGTTAAATAGACTAGATTGGTCTGTAGTGCAATTGTCAAAAAAGATGCAAACAAGCATCTGTTTAAAAAGAGGGGAAAAAACAGGATAACAATAACTCTGAGCGTTAGGAATTTGATTATTAGCTTACAATAATACCAGCAGCTTGATCCAAACTCACCCACATTTTGTCATGTGCCATACAAAAGCATGAGACGATTACTGGAACTATTAAATATAAAGGGTCTATTTAACAGAAAGGATTGATAACCAAAGGTAGCCTAGTACATCTAAGAGCAGACCATTGATTGGAAAAGTCACTAATCAAGACTACAAATATAAACAAAGTCTGCACTGTTCAGAGAGTTAAGAACTTGAATATTATGAATGTAAACTCTGTTAGCTATTTTACAGCTGAAGAAAAAGACAGGAACCTTATCAATAAACACCTGAGTACTGTTCAAACAATAAAACTGGTTATTCTTTAATCACCTAATGGCTTAAATTACACAAATTATGCAGCAGAAACTTAACTTACATAACTTCACATCTGAATTTAAATAAAAAAATGGTTTTACTATGAATAATATAAACCCCTTATTTCCCCATCCACTTCAGTTGAGAAGTATTCACACAATCTCCCAAATGCAAAGGCTAGATTAAAGTAAAATTATTGATTGATAAGATTTATAGGGCTTATCATAACCCAGGGTGACAAGATGAGAAGAATTGATTTTGACTATTCAAAAAATGAAGAAATCAACAAGAAGGAAAACATTTTCAAAAAACATTTGACTATTTTAACCCAAAAAACGTGAGAATTTGGTGCTTGTTAATTTTCCCAAAGATGCTTTTTCACGAGGCAACTGGACTTCCTTGTTTTTCTCTGAAGATGTTTGCTTCTCATCCAAGAAGTTTCTTCAGGTCTGACTGAATAGTGGGGAATGAAAGGATTTATATTCCTTGCAGACAGCTGTTCCTTTGCATTCTTTTAGCAAGTTGTTAAAGCTACCTGGAAGCTTATCTGTGTCTTCAGAGTCACCTGAGTAGCGCAAATGGGTGAGGAGCCTTCTTGGAATTGTTGAAAGAACTGTGTTAGAGACTGGAGATAGATGATGTTGGATCCCTCCCCCTCTGTTGAGAGAGGGCTGTTCAGTTTTGACATAGATGACCTCTTTGACCCCTCTTTTAAACCAGCGGTCCTCTCTGTCCAAAATGTGGACAAAATGGTGACCCTGAAGACACAGATAAGCCTCCAGGTAGCTTTAACAACTCGCTAAAAGAATGCAAAGAAACAGCTGTTTGCAAGGAATATAAATCCTTTCGTTCCCCACCATCCAGTCAGAGCTGAAGAAGCTTCTTGGATAAGAAGCGAAACGTCTTCACAGAAAAACAAGAAAGTCCAGTTGCCTCATGGAAAAGCATTTTTGGGATAACTATGACCTGGATGACTGAGAATCTCCATAGACATTTGCCTGTTAATTTGTCCCCAATTTTGTATAATTTACAGAATTTAAATTTTATAACATACCTATCTTTCACATCAAAGGTTTTCTGTTTTTCAAGAATGTGAATCAGAGTAACAAGAAAATGTTTGTTACAAATTAATGCATATAGACCCTGGTCTTTGCTCTGAAAGAAATGAAATATATAAATTACATTATTGTTCACCTATTTTTAATGTGGTGTATATTTAATTCTTAAAGCTGCAAAAATCATACTTTGATATTTAGAAATCCTGCTACAGATATTGATGTTATAAGAAATATCAAAGAGGTAGATAAAGGAACACATTATTCCTCTGAGTAAAACTTTTCAGACTTCTTGAAATATCTGTCCCCAGCTTGGATATGCAATATTTCTAGATTCTGTAAAAAATCTAATATCTTAGAAATATTTTTAAAAGCGCAAACAAACTTAAGAGAATGAAAATTATACTTACTAGTGGTTCATTAGAGTCTTCAATAAATATAGATGAAATATCTATAGTCTAAACAAAAAAAATGTGAATATAGTATTAAACATTTTCAAAACACTTGGAGCATAATGATGCTGATTTTGATGAGGTGTTGTGTTCTGAATGTTCCTTTTCTAAAATACAGTGACCTGAATTTTTTAGAATTTATAGGCTTATAAATTAGATGCATACTGAAAGCTACATGTTCAGTCTGTGGAAATCATTTCTTAAGAAAAGAAAAACAAAACCAATGCTGGTTCAAAACTGAAGTGTCTCTCATCTGATTGTGTAGGGGCACCAGGATATACTGGCCCTTTCTGTAGCTGGAAAGTTCTAAGTTATGGTTATTCAAAAATGAAGAAATCAACAAGAACTTGCTAATTTTAAGACTGGCTCAGGAATTCTGGAAGTTGAAGTTGATAAGTCTTAAAGTTGCCAAGTTTGGAGATCCCTGATCTAAAACACTGCAATATTTGTGCTTTTGCTTTAATACAAAAGATTTGCATAAGATGGGAGGGAACCCTGAAAATATTTTCTATTTTTATTACCTCCATATTCTATCACATTAAAGGAAGATGATGCTTTGCAAGTGGATTGATGAATTAGAAAAACTTTTTTAGTTACAAACTGAATGCCCTTTAGCATTTTAAAACAGTGTAAAATTTGAAGCAGATCCTTATCAACTATCTGATTTGTGAAATGTTGGTTGTTTTCTCCAGGTGTTCTTTTTTGTATTTTGTGTTGTGTGACCTATTTTTTTTTAAATAAACTATACATCATTTAGAGTTGTAATGGAGCTGGGCAGATTAAATTTAAAAAACTGAAATACATTATTTTAATTACTTGTTTACTATAGACAAATAATCATTTACCTCTGGTAAAAAAGTCCTAAGAACAAAATGCTTGTAGTCAAGAAATGGAATTGTTCCAAAACTATCAATTATATCCAATTTTTCAACTTGTAGTTCAACAAACCCTATAAAAGAAAAAAAAAAGTCCACTGTAGTGTTGATTTTTATAATGTAACATCCTAGTAACAGTTTTCAGTGTGATTCTGGAAAAGAATGATAAGGAAAGAAATGGTTATCAATATGTGCCTTTGTCCATATGTTTGTGAAGATTTGTTTATTTCTGTGGAATATGCAAAACTGACTGTATCTTTTTAATAGGCAGATTTTTAAATACATTTTTGTGTACAACACAGTAATGACTAAGAAACTAAATAACAGCTTCCATTAAATGTTGATCATCAAGAGGAGATTAGGTAACTAGAAAGCCTAAGTAGCACTCAGCAGAATGTGGTGCTTTTTTATTAGTTTTTAACTCAGGAATATCAAATGATTATTTATTGTAAGATCAGCAATAATACTCTGTGGAAAAGTTTAAATCCAAATCCCAATAAAGACAATCATGCATTACATGTCAGAACAGGCTCCTACAATCACATTGAAGATTTAAGATAAACACATAAAAATAGTTTCTCTGTTTATCTGCAAAAAACTTAGTATGAGATATTTAGGGAATACTTTTGTTACATTAAATTGGGGAAATCAGGTCTTTTAGGTGTAGTTGGACTTCCGGTGGTTTCAGCGACGATGATGGCGGCTTTTTATAAAGCCGCCCGTTCCTGGTCCGTGTAAAAGCCACAGGACTTTGACAATCAGCTGTCCCGCGGCTTGAATCTCTTCCCTGGGCAAAAGGGAGGAGGAGAGCTCTCAGGTAGAGGTAAGAGCTCCCCTGGATCCCTATAATTTTGGGGATCGGAGGGTAGAGCTCCCTCGGAGCCTGAGCAATCTCCGCATTCCAGGAAGCCTTCGTCCTGAAGTTCTGGGATGAAGCAAGCTGCCGCTTCCACATCTGCTTCTTTTAGCCGCTTGTGAGTACTTAAAAGCAGACGGAGCAGACCAGGAGAAATTGCGCTTAGGTTTGATGGTGTCTTTAACTCCAGCAAGTATCCTCTTCTTTCTTTTTACTGTTCACTTTCCCTCTTGAAGAAAGGGAAAGTGAAAGGCAAAATGGCGATTGTCTTTCTTGCTTGATTTGCATTATAAAGCTAAAATCTGGATACAGATTAATGCTTTAAATATAGAAGCAAGAATTTGGCTTTTTATTCTTTTTCCTTTCTTTTTTCTCTGTAATTTTTTTTTAAAAGAATATTCAAAAGAACTGTGATTTTTTTTTTCAAACAAGAATCTTTCTTCTTGGAACTTAAGAAAATGGCTTCAAAACGCTTGCCTCCTCCTCCTAAAGCCACTATCTCTTCCCCAATGACCCAGCCTGTTTCTCAGAAACCAAAATCACCTCCAACCTCTCCTCCTCCTGCAATTTCTCTTAAAGATTTACAAGAAGCTTTAAAAACGCATGCTTTGGACATTAAGGAGGAAGTAAAAGATCTTATAATTGCAGAGAGGGCTGTCACAGAAGAACTATTGGAGAAAAAAAATAAGCAAGTAAGGGAGCACATACTTTTTGCTTTCCAGGGCCTTGCTCTGCATATAGAGAGAATTGATGACAAAATCGAGGAGATTACTGAAAATGCAATCAGTATGGAATCTAGGATGGAGGAGGTAGAGAATAAGATAGAAATTACACAGGATGAACAAATTATTTGACAATATAGAGAGATGGAATATGCACTGCATATAAGGGGGTTGAGAGAAAATCTTCAGAAGGACTTAAAGATGCTTATTGTGAAAGATATTGCTCTTAATCTGGGCTGGAGGTCTGAAATAATTGGGAATGAGATAGAAAAAATTTTTAGAGTCAACTCACGGGTTGCTAGACAGAGAAACTTACCAAGAGACGTGGTCATCTATTTTTCTAAAAGATTTATTCGTAATGAAATTATACAGGCTTTTTATAAACAAAAGTTTCAAATTGCAGATCAAGATGTGATAATTTTAAAAGAAATACCTCCCAAAATTTTAAGAGGCAGAAAAGATTTTGCTTTTCTGTCTGATGAGTTAAAACATCGTCAAATTCAGTTTAGATGGGAGATTCCAAGAGGAATAATAGTGAATTATGAGGGGATACATCACAGATTAACTACAGTTTCGAAGGCAAGAGATTTTTATCACTTTATCTTAAAGGCAAGATCGTCCTCATCCCCACAAACAAGGATAATGGAAGAGCCTATTATGGCAGGAGCCTCATCAATGATGGTCATGGACCAAGCTGTACAGAATCTTGAGATAAAAGAGCAAAGGATGACACGAGCTGCCCATAAACATAAAGAAAAAGAGCAGCAGCAGAAGAGTGGTGATAAAGTTGAAGGTATGGTTACTACAGAGCCTGTGGGAGGGGCAAGACCTAAAAGATCTTCGACAGTTGATCTACAGGCTATGCTCCAGAGGCTCCAGGCCGGTGGAGATGGCCAGGTTCCTGACCTGGAATGTTAATGGCTTAAATGTGCTACAGAAATGAAGAAAGGTTTTTCATTATTTGAAACAACACAACAATGATTTGATATGTTTGCAAGAGACTCATATAACTTTAAAGGACTCTAAACTTTTGATGAATCCTCGTTTGGGTTCACATTTTATTGCTCCAGCTCCAGGCAAAAAAGGGGGAGTGGTAATTTATGTGAAGAAAATTTTTTCATCTAAATTAATTGAGACTGATTCTGAAGGAAGATATCTTTTTGTGGAATTATCATTACAAGGTAAAAAAGTTCTTATTGTTGGATTATATGCTCCTAATCAGCAACAGAAACAATTTTACAAGTTTTTGCATGGGAAGATATCTCAGTTGGATTATAAATCTGTAATTTTGATGGGCAATTGGAATGGGGTTTTAGATTCAACTATAGACAAAAGGAGCTCCTCTAAAACTTTTACCCAAACTAGATTACCTAAAACTTTTTTTGATTTGAAAGAAGAATTGGAGCTCATTGACATTTGGCGAGAAAGGAATATAAGTGATAGAGATTTCACTTTCTATTCGGATAGACATCAGTCATTTTCAAGAATTGACTTTTTTTTTATTACTAGTGACTTTCTCTCTAGAGTGAGGAAGGTGAAAATTTTCCCCAGAACTTTGTCAGATCACAGTCCGGTGTGGATGGAATTACATTTAGAAGATGGGAATAGAAGACCCTGGAGATTGAATGAGAATTTGTTTACTCGGGAAGAGTTTGTACAAAAATGTAAAGAGCATTTAAAGGACTTTTTTGCTATAAATATGAATAAGGGAACATCGATGTCCATGGTTTGGGACGCCAGTAAGGCTTATATGAGGGGAATTTTGATTCAATTGAATAAAGTTTTTAGGGAAAAAGGGTTACAAAGACGTAGAGAAATAGAAGAAGAGATTAAATTAAAAGAACAAGAGTTTGTTCTTAATCCAACTGATAATAATTTAAAGGTATCTATAAAGATGCTTAAGGAACAATTTAATATGCTGATGGCAGATCAGGTGGCTACCAATCTGTCGTATATGAGACATAATACTTTTTGTAACGCGAATAAGCCTGGGAGGTGGTTGGCTTACCAGTTACGAAAGAAACAGAAAGCTAGAATTATAGAGAAAGTAAAATATAAAGGTATTGAGGTTTTTCAGCAAAATTTGATTAAAAAGAGTTTTTTAAATTTTTATACAAAATTATATTCAAGTGATAACATAAAGGATGTGGATATAGATAAATATTTACAATCAGTGCATTTTCCTAAACTTTCAGAGGAACAACAAAATGGGATGAATAGATTAATTACTGTGGAGGAAATTGGTTTAGTCATTAAGCAGTTAAAGGTTGGAAAGTCTCCGGGAACAGATGGACTGACCTCGAGGTATTATAAGACTTTATCTGAAGAAATGATGGAGCCATTAAAGGAACTTTTTAATAGTATTTTGTTGGGTTCACAAGTTCCTCCTTCTTGGAAAAGAGCTTTTATATCACTGATGCTAAACTTAACATTATTGCAAATGCATAAACCATTTGTCTATTCTAACAAATTTCTTTATGTCTTATTTGTGATCCTGGCAAGGTCTGCATACATTTATCTATTACTGACCTCTTTCTATTAGAGTAGACCTTGTAGTCTATGTTTGTTTATTTGTACATATAGTTCTTGTTTCCTACGAATAAGGGGAGATTGGCTAAAATGAGCACAGAAACATTGCAACAGTAAAGGCAGCTTATGAAAGGATTAAAGAATATTAAAGGTTTTTTGAGGAAAAAGATGTTCCTCCACAACTCTATAATGTGGTGGGGTAATTTAATACAAAACCAAAATTCTGTATTTGATATAATAATAAAATAATTTAATAAAAATAATGCAACAATTCTGGGAATTCTTACACCCAAGTGTCAATTCATTCACATGCATTCTGCAGATATAAATTTACCTTCCCGTATTTCTTTACGAAGTTCACATTCTAATAGCTCCAGATGTTCACTCAATTTTCGATTTAATTGTTTGGACTTTCGCTGGGTGACAAAAAATGCAACTAAAAAAAAATAACATTAAGCTAACACAGAGGTGTTAACATGTCATCTGTCCTAATAAATATATATTTATAATTTGTTTTAAAAGGACAAAAATAGCATTTTAAAATATCTGAAAACTGGTGCAGTTCAGAATGGCCAAGTTTAAACTGACATGCAATGTATTTAATGTATTTAAATCAATACATTAAAAGTATCTGCACACTACAAAAACAAAGAATAGTAGTAGGACTGTAGTTAGTAATAGAAGCCCTAAGCATCCTTCAAAATTTTGGGAATAGTATTTTCCTACAAATGCTTTCCTTTTTGTCATTCCACATCATCACAAATCCTGACAAGGTTTGGAGGCCTCTGCCTAGGAGGAATAATCCACGGGGTATTGGTGGTGGTTTGTTCTCCAGGTTTGTGGTTTAGTTTTTGAAAGTTCTGTCACCACACTAGGTAACATCATCAGCGAACTTTGGTTGAAGTGTCTTGCTTCAGTTCTCTTCTGATTTTATAAATCTTATGTGGTCAGTTAGTCACGTGACCGACTAGTCACACCGTGTGAGGGTCATCTGGTGCTGAGGTCACTCTGACTGGACATCATGTGAGTTGGCCGGTGGTCGACGCCATGGTCTCTCGATTGATCCAACTTCTTACAGAATCATAGGCTGGTTGCAGATGGATGTGTTTGTTGATTGACCAGGCTTTGACAAATTGTGGCATATAGTGGCATGACCAATAATTTTTCTTCTATCCAAGTTGAACTGGTATTATTCAGTGTTGATGTGAGTCGAGATCAGGGATTTGTGGTTATGTCGACAGATTGCTAGTTGGTGTTCATGGATTCTTGTGCACAGTTGTCATCCTGTTTGTCCAACAAAGAATTGGTTGCAGTTGTTGCATTTGATCTTGTAGATTATGTTGCTGTTCTCTTCTTTCTGTACTTTGTCCTTGGCTCTAGAAAGCTCTTGTTGGAGTTTTGATGTTGGTTTGTGGACCACCATTATTCCCAGAGGATGAGGAATTCTGGTCCCCATTTCTGACACTCCTTTGATGTATGGTAGAGTTTGTTTCCATGCTGTAGCTGACTGTGTGGTGTGATGGGGCCTGGGTAATGTGTGTTGGAGTATGAAGGTTTTGAGTAGCTATTGAAGAAACATTCAGAAACTAAACAACAAGCCCAGAGAACAAACCACCACCAACATCTCCCAGACAAACTACAAATATTTTCCACCAGTCAACAGGGTTCATTATGCTGATGGAACTAAAGAATTTATATAACTCAGTCTGAGGCTTTGGGAAGGTTTTGCATATAGCAAGGGAGAGAAAATAATAGGCTGGATCATTAGTCAGATACGGTATAAGCAGAACTTCTTGAGTTGTGAGATGATTATAGGCAAAGTGCTCTCTGATGACTCTGAGTGAATTTAGCTGATGGTTTTGGTGATCGGCAGTGCTTTGAGCTATATCAAATGGCTTGGTTTATTTTCATTTAGTTTATTTTCATTGATTATCTTATACAAAACTGTTTAGTAACAAATTAATGGATAGAGATAAGTATGCAATTACTTACCCACAATTACTATTGGGATTAACAAAAGAATGTAGAAGAATGAATAGTTCTTGTTTTCATTAGGAACTTCATACACAAAATTCCCCACCTTGACCTATGGATAAATATGACATTGATTTAAATAATGTATATTGTTTATATATTATATATTTATAGAAGACTGCAGTCAATATATATTGAATCTGTTACAGAGATAAAAGAAATTGATATACTCTTTAAATTTCTAAAATAGTTGATAGTAATGTTTTAAATGTATTTGATTATCTTGTCTTTTTACTTAGAGAGCATTCAAGAAAAGCATTATTGAAAGATAGAATTTACTTTCCAATTAAGCAATGAGAGATCTTTCCCAATTATGAAATAGTATGCAACATAAACAGAGGTCCAAGCAAGCATTTCTCCTCTCTCAAAATCAAGAGCAGCTATCCTAAATTCTAAGCATAAAGAATACAGATTACTTGTAATATTCAGTGTGTAGATATTCTATTAATTTAACAAATTAGTTTCCTGATTATATGGAAAACTGCAGAGAAATTATGTGGGCAAATAAGACTGAGAGTCTATATAGAGAGAGAAGCATACAGAAAAAGAGAAAAAACACCGGGCTAAGTGTAATATTAAATTGTATAGTTCAAGATATAATACACTTTTCGACTCTTCCGGTGGTTAGCGCCACGCCGATGGCGGCTTTCTTCTGAGCCGCCCGTCTTGGTATGTGTAAGAGCCTGCAGAACAGTGACAATCAGCTGTTTTGCGGCTCGGAACTTTCCTCCCGGGCGAAGGGAGGAAAGCGAGCTTTCTCCAGATAGAAGTCGAGCTCCTCTGGTCTCTTAGAAATTTTTTTGGGAGAGATGAAGAGTGAGAGCTCCTTCGGAGTCTGGGACAACTCCACATCCTGGGATGCCTTTGTTCTCCGCTCGGGTATTTCCCCTGAACTGTATCCGAAGAGGGATGAGAGGGGAGGAAGAAGGGATGGAAGGAAGTAGGATGGGAGGAAGGGAGGAGGGGAAGAGAGGAGAGAAGGAGGAGGGAAGTAAGGAAGGAAGGTAGAGAGGGCGGATGCAGTCGGGGGGGAGGTGGACGAGCGATACCTAAGGTTATATGTATGAATTTATTTCAAAGGTATTTTTTATAATGTATTGAAAGTATTAAATGTATTGAAAATTTTAAAAAAGATATAATACACTTTTATATAACCTGCAAAACAGAAGAAAAGAAATGTAATGCTACTTTATTCTATCAGATATTATTTTCTGCAAGTAAATATTGTCCTCTTCTCCTTCTCTTTCCCCTAGGGCTATTTCAGTAAATAAAAATGAAATCTAAGTCAATTTTGTTTACTATTGATTATTTTTAGTCACAAAGATGCAAAAGAGAAGTCATGTCTACACTATCACCATTTTCACTTTCCAAACCTTCAGAAGTCATCCAAAAATGATTCATGATCATCTTAGCGTCTGCCCTCAAAATGCTGAACAAGGAATTAAAATGACTGTTACACATGTCCTGCAGTTATGAAAATTCCTCCAAACCATCCCATACAAAGGGAAAGAAAAAAAGGAGGGGGGGAACCCTTTCAATTACTTGGCACATGTAACTTTGCAGAAGATAAAGAGAAAATAAACTTTTGTCAATTTCAGCACTAGCAGCTTTTGCTAAGGAAGTACCCCAAAGCCATCATGTTAGCATTCCAGTTCCAGAACAGGAATCAGGAAAGTTTATTTTCAATAAGGAAATAATGTTCCAGAAGAACAATCCTAGCTTTCTGTAGTATCTTACACTCCATAATTGAGACAGAAATAAATCAATACTTTCCAACGCTGAAGTTACAAAGAGTCTGGAATTTATTTCGATTGGTATGGAATGTGTAGAAATGTTTTAAGTAAAAAAAAAAAAAGCTTCCAAATGCTTGCTTACAGAATCCTGCTCTCATAAGAATAACTTTTGCTATGTGCCTTCATGCAGCATCTGAAAGGTATTTCTCAATTGACAAAAATCTTGAATTAAAAAAATACTAGAGACACATCACAGTTTGAGAAATTGCATTGACACTGCAACTCTGAGAGAAAAGCAGAAGATATAATTTCATTTTAGAGATATGCAGCATTTTATCCAAAACAGGGAAAATGCCTTGGGATCAGTAACTGTTCAAGATCTATTGAACTTAAAACAGGTTACACTTTTTTCCTGATCTTGCACAGTGCTGCATACTCCTGAACATCCCAAATCCTAAATGTGTATTTTCCATGGACCACACTAGCCAATATGTATATTTCATATGAGCCAGGAAGAGTTCAGATTCTCTAAGGTGTGGCTGACAAATACAGCATATACATCCATATCAGATCCAAAGTGTTTTTCTGTTTTGGATTTGACTATGCACAGCTTATAGATTAGATGAATGCTTAGATTCTAAAATGCTTAGATTCAAGCATTACTCACATTGAAAGCAATGTAATTCTATCTGTATGTACATAATGCCAAGGACTGTTTCCAGGAAGGAGACATAAATATTTAGCATATGGAAAAATCTAATTTTGAAGTATCAATATATGATTTACAAATTCAGAGAGATATTTTAAGAATAAAATTTAATAACACAAAGTTAACAAACAAAAGATATACAATCAATGCAATATTTACTCACATAAACTTTCATGCTTGACTTGTTAATCTTGCTGATAAGGTTTTTTTCCTGTCTAGCTCTACAGTGTATTATGTTACGAGTAGCTGTTTTTGAAATATTTTGGACATTGAATGTTATGTTGATCAGATTCTTATCAGATAAGAAAACTTCAAGTTCATGTCTAGAAAGATTTAAGTTGTCTTTTTTTTTCTAGAGAAAGAAATAAAAAAAAATAGAGTGAACCATACAATAAAATCCAAACAATGAAAATTGTTTAAAAGAGAAGTTTTAAGACAAAGAACTTAAAAGCCCATAACTTACATGTATTTTCAATTCCAGGTCAGGTTCCAAATCAGTTATGAGTTCATAATGAAGAAATTTAGGATCAGGATAATATTGAAAGTCACCACAAGATATATTAATATTTTTAACTTTAAGAATAATATTAATAATCTTAGGTCCTTTCTCCATTTTAACAGCTGGAGTTGTAAAACTGCATTCAAAATTATTTTTGTGGCAAGTAAAATGCTAAAAAAACAGTATTGAGAAAATTATAAATTATATTAATACACACACACAATATTGTTAAATGTTGATTTATGCACAGTTCAAATGTTTAAACTTCACTTAATTCAGTGAGATTTGATATTGCTCATATACAGTATATATTCATACGTTTATTCACATACATTTTAAAACACCACTGAGCCATCAGCAGCCTAATTAACTTGTAGACTGAGTCATAACAGTTTTAAATTATATGCACACAAATACAAAATACATTCACATCCAGATTTAATATTTAACACAAAACCATTAATCAGATGATGTTTTATTTAGAGATGGTGATAAGCTATTAAAATTGTTTTTACTTGCTGGGACGAAGGGGGAAGTTACTTAGCATCATTCCGGACTGGCTCAGGGCGTTAGAGTTCCTTTTTCCAGAATTGGTTCCAGTTGGTGCTGATAAGCTCTGTTGTGCAGGTCCCCATAAGAGCCTTGCTTCTCTCCACTCCTATTTAACACTTTTACGGAGCCACTGAATGTAGCCATCCAAATGGCACAAGATCAGGTATCATCATTATGCTTGGTCAGTCAGGGGTTGAGAGGTACAGCTGAGTGTTTTTATCAGCTGCACCTCTCAATATCAACCAACCAAGGATGTTCTCAAATTTCTTTCTCATTATCTGAAATCTGTAGAAGTTTGGATGGAGAATAGGTTTAGGTTAAATTCTAGTAGGAGTGACTGACTAACTGTAGGCTTTAGGATTCGCAAATCCAAGCTGGGGATTTTCCACATTGGTTTTAAATGGGGTTGTACTCACAAATGAAAGCAAATATAATACAGGGTAATGTTGCAGGATCCAATCTGGGTTGGTCACTGAGATCAGAGGTTTAATCTTCCGAGCTTTCAGACTTATGCTGGAGCCCACCCTCAGGGAACTTCTCTTTCACCAGAATGTTGCAATGCCCAAGTTAGAACTAGCGTACAACTTGGAGATAACCTAGATTTTGGATCCTGTTCAAAAAGTATGTGGTAGGCATGGCTTGGAGGGCCCTTGCAAAATATTGTGTGGCAGTTGCATCAGTCTCTGGATTGGGAAGTCCAACTCAAACATTTGTGCCCCTATGAATGCCCTTTTGGATTACTGCTATATGCTGTGCAACCTGACACTTCCTTAAGAACTACACAGTCACATCTGTGTTCACCCACTACTGTCCAAGCTGTATTGATTCCCAGTAGGTTTCCCGGTGCAATTCAAAGTTCATGTTATCATCTATAAAACCTCTCATGACAGTCTGGGTTACATGGGAGAACCATCTGTGCCCAATTATTTCTGCCTATCCCACAGAGTGTGCATACGACAGATGTTATCTGATGAGACCTACAAAGCACTTTCTCTGTCTGCCTTGTAGAAAAGCATAAGCCCCTGAAATTTGGATGGCCCTGATCTACTGGCTTTCTATAAAGTCTGACTTTTTCTCAGGCATTGGACAGTATAGTTAGAGAACCTGTTTTTAGGGGATTGTGGATATTAATATCCATGTTGCCTCTGGTGTGATTTGTTTTGTCCTGTTTTCTGTTGATATTTTTATTATTAATTTTAATTGTAATCAACATCCAGATGCATATGTTGAATGAGTGGCCTTATAAATCTAAATTCTTTACAAGCACTATCAATACATTTGGCCACAATATTCATTTTGATTCATTTAAAGGCAGAGACACCTGGAGGAAAAAGAAAATATACAATACCTACCATTAGGTTTTGTGGAAAGTCACTTAAAATAATTTCATCTGCAATACTCAGATATTTCCCATGTATAGTCACATTGCGACCTCCTCTTGGGGGGGACGACAATAAAAATAATATTAAAATTGGAATTTATTTATAAACAAAAATTAAAAAATCATACAATCTAATTTTCAGAGTTGAATGCAAAGTACATTAGGTCAGAAAATCAAATTTTAATCTCAAATAATCAGGCAATCTACACATTTCTGATTTCAACTATCCTCTCCTACAGCTCTACACAAAGTAGACTGTTTCGGGCAGCTCACTAGCTGTGGCCTTAGATATTGACAACACTTGAAGTGTATATGCATCTACACAATAAAACTGCAATTCCTGCAATATATAATTATATTTCTAAAATGTGAATTTAAACATTCAGGTGTTCAGTGCATTACAGAAAGAATCACCAAAGAAAAATTGTATTTTTAAAAAAAATATGCATAATATACCACAAAATATTTCAGAGCATATAAGAGAAAAGGCTCAAAATGTATTTCTTAGGTTACTTTCTAGTAACTTGTAGTTTAATAATAGTAAAAATTTTATTTTGATCTCATTTTTCTAGTAATGTGAATTTGCTTCACTACTAAAGTGTTCTAGTAAATTGTAGTTTAATAATAGTAAAAATAATTTTATTTTGATCTCATTTTTCTAGTAATACATTGAAAAAATTTGCTAGACATAAAATGTTTCCTGTTTATAAGAAAAAAAAGTGAGAAGACGGATTTCTGTAGCCATGTCATGGTACAGAAAAGTTCATTGTAGTATTTGCAGCCACTTGCTATTTGGGTATGGCAGAGGAATAATAAGCTGTTTTACATAAAAGGGAAAGTTGTAAAGGGCGAGAGAGAGAGAGAAAGAGAGAGGTCTATAAACTTAAAGGATCTACTTCTATCAAAAACAATGCTGTGTTTAGGTTAGAGTAGACTATTAACTTTCAGGTGGTTTAATCTTTTATGATAGTGTAAATTAAATATTACCTCATCCAAGTAATATTTGGAAGGATCTCAGAACATGATGGAAAAGAGACGTAATGTAGTGGAAGAGAAGGTGAACATTCAAACCCGTTTTCCTTTATGCATGCACTCTTGACTTCTTTACGACTTGGTGGTAAACAGAATTTCATGTGTGTGTCATTTAACACTTTAGTAACATATCCCCTAAGGAAAAAGAAAAAAGTGGCCTTTTTTAATGCATTATTACCCTCACTGAAAGTTTCTGCTACCTGAACTCCTTTTAAAACTCATTTTGGTTCCTTGTCGTTCGGGACAAAGCAAGACGCTGCTCCCACCTCCGCGATTATAGAGAACTGGTGAGTTAATTTTAAAAAAAGCGGACAGAGCTGATCAGGGAAATTTTTATTTTGGGGATTTATTTGGACTTTAATTTTAAAGAGTTATTTTCACTTTCTTTTTTTTTGGTTGAGAGGGAAAGTAAAATGGCGATCTGAGGCTTTTTTTTCTGAGTGCTTGAAAGGAAACGGAACGGATTTTGTTACCTTGTTACTTTTTCCTTTTTTTAAATCTTTTTTCCGCTTTTTATTATTATGGTTTTTTGAAAGAGATTTGTGTTTAGTTATTCTCCCTCTCTTTTGTTTACTTTTTTATTCTTGCCTGGGATTTTTTTTGTATTTTTTTTTTTTAAGGAGGAAAGGAAAAAACTTTTTTTCCCCTTTGTTTAAAATGGCTTCAAAGTGTCAAGCTTCTACAGTACCTAAGGTGGCCTCTTCTCAGGTGATATTACCAGCCCAACAACCATCTTCTCCTCCTGTACAACCACTTACGGTAAAAGACTTGCAAGATGTTATGGGAAATGTTATATCTCAAATTAGAGGAGAAGTGAAAGAGATTTTAGTGGAGAATAATAATATTTTGAGGCAAGATATAGTTCTGGCCCTAAAGGGACTTGCTTCTGTTGTTGAAAAGTTGGATTCCTGTGTTGAAGAAGTAGTAGATAAAGTGGATATATTGGAGGAAAAGTTTGAAGGAATGGAAAAAAAGATGGAAATTTCACAAGATGAAATTGTTGTCTCAATACAGAGAGATGGAATATGCTTTAAGAATCAGGGGCCTGAGGGAAAATATGCAAGAAAACTTGAGAGAGATGGTGGCAAATGATTTTGCTGTGATTTTGGACAGAGAAAAGAAGGAAATACTTGGAGAAATTGAAAAAATATTTAGAGTTAACTCTTGGGTGGCAAAACAGAAAAATCTGCCAAGAGATGTGGTAATTTATTTTGGGAAAAGATCTTTGCGCAATGAAATTATACAAACTTTTTATAACAAGAGATTCCAGATTGCTGCACAAGATGTAATAATTTTAAAGGAGATCCCATCCAAAATTCTAAGAAGAAGAAAAGAGTTTGCTTTTTTAGCAGATGAATTTAAAAAGAGGCAGATGCCACTTAGATGGAATATTCCGACTGGAATTGTGATGAGTCACGCAGGGACACGTTATAGACTTAATACTGTTTTTAAAGCAAGAGAGTTTTATACTTTGGTCCTGGGAGCACGCTCAACACCACCTATTGGAAGAAAAGGTAGAACAGCAGTCTGAAGAAGCTGTATTGATGAAAGTTGGGAAAATACAGGCTGAGTGGCACCAACAAGCTGAGATGAAGGAGCAGAGAATGACTCGAGCAGCACATAAGCGTAAGAAAAAGGAACAACAGAAGAAGGAGGTTAAACAAGTTTTACAAGAATTTGTTTCTGAGCCTGTGGGAGGAGCAAGACCTAAGAGATCATCGGTGCAATCCTCGATGGCAGATCTCCAAGCAGTCTTCTCTAGGCTAATGGATGGAGGAGATGGCAAAGCTCCTGATCTGGAATGTTAACGGCCTTAATTCTCCACAGAAAAGGAAGAAAATATTTCATTATTTGAAGCAATATAATAATGATATTATTTGTTTGCAGGAAACCCATATTATTTCTAAAGATCAAAAATATTTAGTTAATGCCCGATTGGGATCTCATTTTGTATCCTTTGCTCCTGGGAAAAAAGGGGGTGTAGTTATTTATATTAAGCAAAATTTATCAGCTTCTTTAATAGACTCCAATCCTCAGGGGAGATATGTAATGATTGAAGTGAGAATGTATGGTAAAAAAATACTTATAGTGGGTTTGTATGCTCCAAATCAACAACAAGAACAATTTTATAGACTTTTACATCAAAAATTGATTTTATTGGATTATAGATCTGTTATATTGATGGGAGATTGGAATGGAGTTTTGGATACATATAGAGATAAAAAAGGATCTTCTACTTCTTTTAAACAGGCTAAATTACCTAAGGCCTTTTTTGATTTGAAAGAGGACTGGGAGTTGCGAGACTATTGGTGAGAACATAATACAGAAGAGAGAGATTTTACTTTTTTTTCTGATAGACATCAATCTTTTTCAAGAATTGATTTTTTTTATTACAATGGATTTATATTTTAGGGTAAAGAATGTAAAGATTTTTCCAAGGACATTGATAGATCATAGTCCTGTGTGGATGGAGTTAACCATGGAAAAAGAGAAGAGAAGATCCTGGAGGCTGAATGAGAATTTATTTAGACAAGAAACAAAGGTTCAGAAACTTAAAGACTATTTAAAGAATATTTTATTTTAAATATGCATAAGGGAACTTCAATGTCAATGGTATGGGATGCAAGTAAAGCTTATATGCGTGGATTTTTGATACAAATCAATAAGGCTTATAGGCAAAAACAGATGCAAAAACGTAAGGAGTTGGAAGATGAGATTAAATTAAAAGAAAAAGCTTTAATTTTGAATCCTTTAGATGAGAAGGCAAAGGTAGCTATAAATTTACTCAAATCACAGTTTAATATGTTAATGGCTGACCAGACTGCAACCAATTTGCTTTATATGAAACATAACACATTTTGCAATGCTAATAAGCCAGGGAGATGGCTGGCTTACCAATTGCGGAAGAAACAGAGGTTGAGAATTATAGATAAAATAAATTATAATGGTAAGTTGGTTTTTCAGAAGGAATTGATTAAAAATCTTTTTTAGATTATTATACAAAATTATATATGGGCAAGAAAGTACAGGGTTCAGATATAGATAAATATTTACAAGATGCTCATTTTCCTAAGTTAACGAAGAACAAAAACAAGAGATTAATGGATTTATTACTACAGATGAAATTATTATGGCAATTAAACAATTAAAACTAGGTAAAGCACCGGGCACTGATGGTTTGACATCAATTTATTATAAAACTTTGATAGATGAGTTGATAGAACCTTTAAAGGAACTTTTTAATAAGATATTACAGGGAACAGAGACCCCCCCGTCTTGGGGTAGGGCTTTTATATCTTTGATTCCAAAAGAAGATCAAGATCTTACTTTACCAAAAAATTATAGACCTATATCTCTTTTGAATGCAGATTATAAAAATTTTTCAAAAAATTTAGCTAATAGACTTATGATTGTATTGAATCAAGTAATACACATGGATCAAACAGGTTTTATAACTGGAAGATATATGAAGAATAATGTTAGACAAATTATCAATCTAATAGAATATTTGGATAAAAATAATCAGATCTCTGCAGGATTGATTTTTCTAGATGCTGAGAAAGCCTTTGATCAGGTAAATTGGCAATTTATGTTAAGATTGGTTGAGGAAATGAATTTTGGAGATAAAATTTTACAGGCTCTTCGAGCAATTTATCAAAGACAAACAGCACAACTTATAGTTAATGGAGGTTTATCTGAGGTATTCCAAATTGAAAAGGGGACTAGACAGGGTTGTCCATTGTCGCCCTTGTTGTTTGTTTTAACTCTGGAAATTTTGCTGATTAAAATTTGGGAATCATCTAAAATAAAAGGAATAGAGATTAATAAGAATAATTATAAATTAAGGGCCTTTGCAGATGATCTGGTTGTTACTTTGTCTCAACCAACTTACTCAGCAATGGAGCTGTTACAATTGATAAATCAATTTGGACAAGTTTCTGGTTTTAAAGTTAATAATAATAAGACTAAAATATTGCCCAAAAATATGACTAATTTGGACAAAGAGACCTTAGTCAGATTGACAGGTTTTGAAATTGTTAATAAGGTAAAATATTTGGGGGTATTTTTATCTGCTTCTAATGCAAAACTGTATAAAAATAATTATGAAAAGTTGTGGCTTAAAGTACAAAAGGATTTAAATGATTGGAAAAAGTTGCAATTATTCTTGTTGGGGAGAATAGCAGCGGTTAAAATGAATGTTTTGCCAAAGTTTCTTTTTTTATTTCAAATGATACCTATTTTGAAGAATGAGGTAAGCTTAGATGAATGGCAGAAAGGTATTAATAAATTTATCTGGGCAGGGAAAAAACCAAGAGTTAAATTTAAAATCATACAAGATGCACGAGAGAGAGGTGGACTCAAGGTACCAAATTTCAAATTGTATTATGATTCTGTGGTTTTAACACTGGTTAGTGATTGGATTAATTTAACAAATGTAGATATACTCCTTTTGGAGGAGTGGGATTTATTATATGGATGCCATGCCTATTTAATTTATAACAAGAAGGTGGATAGGGCTTTTAAGTCTCATATTTTAAGAATTTCTTTACTTCGAGTATGGAAGAAATATTGTAGAATAGATTCAAGAATTCCATTATGGGCTATTCCGGGGCATGCAATAGAAGGAATAAGGAAAGGAGTGAAGATGGATAGTATTTCTTATAAACAATTACTTAATTGGGATGGGAAGAATTGGCAATTAAAACATATAGATGAACTAGCACAAGAAAATATCATTTACTCGTGGTTTCAGTATAGACAATTATTGGAAAGGTGGAAGATAGATTATAAAGTGGGTTTGATTAGAGAGGATGAAAATTTGTGGAAACAAATTAGAGATCAAAGTCGATCTCATATAAAAAGAATTTATGATGTATTAGTGGAGTTGGATTCAGAAACAGAATTAGTTAAAGATTGTATGGTTAAATGGGCTCAAAATTTTGACGAGCCGGTTTTATTAGAAACATGGGAGATAATTTGGGTGAGGAATGTTAAATTTACGCAAGCTCAAAATTTACGGGAAAATTTTTATAAAATGTTTTATAGATGGCACCTTGATCCACAAAAGATGTCTCGTATGTATTCAAATTTGCAACCTAAATGTTGGAGATGTGGTTGTTTGGACGCAACGTATTATCATATTTGGTGGTCATGTAAAAGTATAAAAGCTTTTTGGATAAAGATATGGTGGAATATTCAAAAAAATTTTAAGAGAAGGATAAGATTTACTCCACAATTGTTTTTGTTAGGTATTATTGTTGATTGTAATGATAAAGAAATTATTTTAATGTTAAATCTAATTACAGCGGCAAGGTTGTTGATAGGACAATATTGGAAACAGGAATTTTTGCCTACTTTGGAGGAATGGTTTTTTAAAGTTTCTTATTTATCTGAAATGGCAAAAATTTCTGCTTATCTGAAAGATCAATCGCAAGAGAAATACCTTTTGGTGTGGAAAAGATGGATAAACTTTATACAGTATAAGTATGATATTAAAAGATATTATTTAGCTTTTGAATAATTTATATTTAAAGTTTAAACTTTAATTCAATAAGTATTTTTATTATATATATATATATATATTGGACTTTTTTATTACTTAAGTTTAAATGCTTTGTATTTTTTAGTTCGTGTTAACCCTGTGTTCAGCTCTGGGAAGAGGGGGGGAGGGTTTTTTTGGGAGGGTTGGGAGGTAGTGGGAGAGGGATATTATTGTAAAATTGTAAAACTTTTTTAAAAAAAAACTCATTTTGTCCCCTTTCACCTATTCTGCACTGTCTTCTGTTTTTTCCTTAAAGGCTTAGAACAGTGGTTCTCAACCTGTGGGTCAGGACCCCATTTGGGGTCGAACGACCATTTCATGGGGGTCGCCAAATGCAGTCCGCCATTTTTTCCCCCTTTTCCTTAGCTCTGCTACTCCCTTTTATTCTATTGGCTTTTGAAAGCCAATAGAATAGACTCTCTTGAATAGAGTCTAATTCTATTGGCTTTCAAAAGCCAATAGGAATTGTCCAGGCTGTCTCTGCCAGGCTGAGCCCGCCAAAAGTCCCATTCTGCAAATGGTGCTGCAAGTTGTCTGCAGCAAAGGCGAGCTGTTTGGAAGTTTCCACCCCTCCCTGCTGAGCAACTACTAAAAATGTAAGTAAAAGAGGGCCAGGGGTGGGAGGCCGGCGGGCGCAGGGAGGGTTGCTGGTGCACGTGGGGCCCAGTGGGTGCCTTACCTCCCTTGGGCTGGGCCAGCTGGTGGCCCAGCTGGTGGTCGGCCTGTCTCTGCCCCTTGCCAGCTACGCCTCGGCTGGCGCAGGGGGTGGCACCACACATGCACGGTGCTCCCGGGCAGGGAAAGTCCTTGACTTACGACCGGTTGGGTAGTCCTTGACTTACGACCAGTTGGGTAGTCCTCGATGTACGACCGGTTGGGGTTGCGGCATTAAAAAGGTTGAGAACCACTGGCTTAGAACCTCCCTTCACCTCCATGGGCCTCAACAGTGTTTCTTAATATAAAATATTGTCTACAGTGCTTGATTCTTGTTGACACTCCCATTCACCTCTTTCTTTGATTATCTTTCTTATGGAAAGTTGCTTCCTCTTTCAGCTAGCTCTTTTCTTTGATTGATCTGATAAAACTTTATTCTCTTATCTAAGCACTGTTCACAAAGAATGAAGATATTATAGATTTGTAAACTTCTTCAGCAAACTGATCTTTGCTCTCTCTGTTCCTTCACTCAGACTACTTCTTAGAATCTAACTGCCTCCAGTTATTGCTTGCTCAGCAAGAACAGACTATCTAATCAACTGTAGCTGAAGACTACCAGCTCTCAGTATGCATTGCTTGCAATTGTAACTATTTGGGATATTATCTTGTTACTTTTCACAGCTGAACAAACAATCCCTCGGAGAATTAGCTTCTCCAGAGACTTTTCTCTTTTCTTTGCTTCTTTTTTACTGGCAAATTCCCATTAACTATTCTTGTTTACTTTCTCAGTGTATTGCTCCTTGGAAAGGACTGCTATTTCTTGTAGAGTCTCTGCTTATTCAGGAGGTCAATAAATCACCTATAGTGAGCAATCAGCAACCTTCAGAAGACACTCCTTGCAATCAACATTTTTCTCTTTACTGTTGAACAAATAATCTCTCAGAATATACAGTTTCTCAAGTCACTCAGATTCTCTCTTGCCTCCTTTTCATATTGAAAATGTGGAAGAGCATGGTCAAGGTATACAGTACAGTAAGTTCTAAGAATGATTGTGGAAAATATGAATAACTATCAGGAGTCTGATGCCATACATATTTAACTCTCCTTTATATTTCATTTATCCTATATTTACTATTAATTTTGTTCATAGCTTTATGTCTTCATTTGTACATTTCAGATAAACAAATTCAGTCCAACATTCGACAGAGAACAAGAAAAAGATACACTAATGAATTTTACTTCCTAATTACTAGCAAAGTTCCACTTTGTGGGTTAACAAAACAACAGAACATTTCCAATTTCCATGTATAGGAATTGTAAATCTACATTTCTTAGGTAGACACTATGTGACTATATAGTACAATCACCTGTGCAAACGGTTTCAATATAAAATCAATATATTATTTTGACTCACACATCTCGTTGGCAGCTGCTTGTTCCAGTTATCTCCATCAAAAAATTTGATTTTGTAAAGTTTTCTCCTATGACTAGCACTTCAGGTTTACCTAATGTTGATATGTAGTTCGGTTCAATGGAAATAATTTTAATAGGCTATTGGAAACAAAATAAATGTATATTAACATATCCAGGCAATCGTTTTAAATTAAGTAATAGAATCATGCATTTATAAATACCTTTAACATTCCTTTGCTATTAATGGTTTGGGAGCTAATTTGGTGCAGTAGTTAAGGAACCAAGCTAGAAAGCAAGAGGCCAAGTCCATCCTTAGCTAAGAAAGCTAGCTGGATGACCTTGGGCTGGTCACTCTCTCTCAGCGCAACCCATAGTTATTGTTGTGGGGAAAATAGTAGGATAACGTTGTGTTGTATATGTTTGCCACCTTGACTTATTTGTATAAATAAATAAATAAATAAATGCAACAGTTTTTACATGATACTTGTAGTGTCGCAGTATATAAATAATATTACATAATTTCAATTGTTTTTTATAATAAAGTAACAAGAAAAATAACTAAATTCATAAGAGCTTATAATCTGATGCAGATATAGAGATGGCTCTCAAATGATGATTTGCAGGGACTTGAAGTTATTGACCCATAAGTTGATGCCACCAAAATTACCTTAACCAATGCTTAGCATTACACATTGGGCAACATCAACTACTGTATGAGAAGGGCTAAGCAATGTTTCTGTCTTGATCAAGCTTTTAAAACAATATTTGAAAAGAAGAGGAATATTAACTGTTGTGTCCTGGGCCTGTGCAAGAAGGCTCAGGGCATTGCAAACGGTCCCGGGCAGGTGCAGACTGCCCGGGACCAGACAGGCTGTCGCCAGTATGTGTGCGCATGCGCGGGTGCTGGCGCGCCAAAAGTAGCAGATTGACCCGGGAAAGGCCTATAAAAGGAGGCCGAGAGTTTTGGGCGTTGCCGCCATATTCCACTGTAAGCTGAACTGAAGAATAAAGGTTTCCTGAGAACTACAACTGCTTCTCGTGTCTTACCATTTCGCAACAGACTCAACACTGGCGATGAGGATGGGATTGCCTTACATCGAAGAAGAAAAGGTGTAAGCTTACCCGAGTGAGTCTGGAGCGGCAGGAACGACGTTGACTCGGCAGCTACCCGCCAATCCAGCGTGCATTCGGGGGTAGGCTGGCTGATAGACCCTTCCTGATACGAAATGGCAAAGATTGGAAGGCTTTCGGAATTCGACATCTCACATCCAGAGAGGTGGGAGTCCTACGTAGCCAGGGTGGAAAACTACCTCAAAGTGAACCAGGTGAGGGAAGATAGCTTGAAGGCTGCCACCCTGATATGCGTCTGCGGTCAAGACGCGTTTGAAATCGCTGAGAACCTCACAGCACCTGTCCCTTTAGAGTCTGTCAGCTACGCAGATCTAAAGAAGTTACTGAAGGAGCACTTCCAGCCTAAGATGTCCGTCATCGCGTGGCGCCACACCTTCGAGCAGAGGGATCAACGACCCGGAGAATCAGCCAAGGAGTACATCGCCACATTGAGGAAAGCCGCCAAACATTGCGCGTTCAAGGACCTCGAAGAACGACTGAGGGACCGGCTTGTATGCGGGCTAAGGGATCGAGAACTACAACAGAGACTTTTCGCCAAGGAGGACTTGTCCTTCCAAGATGCCTTGAGAGAGGTCACTGCAGAAGAAGCAGCGGGCGGCGCCATCAAGAACATGCGGCCGATCAGGAACAGCCCAGATGCTACATCCATGCACCAAGAAGAAGTCCAGAGGAACTCCGAGGAGAATCCGGACGAGGAAGTGGATCGTCTCCACCCCACAAAGGAAGGAAAACCAAGAGGAAGCTCTTCAGCTCTCCCCAAGTGCATCGGTTGTGGAGGTCGCCACAAGAGAACTGACTGCAAGTTCCACTCCGCTATCTGCCGGGCGTGCGGAAAACAAGGACACATTGCAGCTGTGTGCCTGGGCCGTCAGAAGGTACAACCTCAGGAAGAATTGCACCTGAAAGGTACCAGGGTCCCCAGCCAGAATAGGGTGGGGTTTTGCGCTTCGCGAAGAAGCATCTATAGGACAGGCACACACAAGCCCATTAAGAAAAAGCTGTCACTTAAGGTGAAGCTACAAGAGGTTCCATTAACTATGGAACTGGACACGGGGTCTGCACTTTCGATCATTTCTATGCACACATTTAAGAAGATTTGTTCCGGCAGCGGAACCCAGGCCAAGTTGAGGCCTTCCGACATTGTGCTAACGGATTTTCAAAACTCCAGAGTGTGTGTTAAGGGGGAGGCCACCCTTAACGTACAGTATAAGGATTTTGAGGGTCCATTAGACCTATTGGTAGTAGGGGGTGAACGAACGAGTCTCATAGGACTCGAGTGGTTTGAGGCCTTGGGAATACATGTCACAGGGCTCAACAGCCTACAAACACTCGACCTACAGGAAGTCTGCAAAGAATTTGCAGATGTCTTCAGCCCCCAGCTGGGCACATTCAAAGGACCCCCTGTGTCGTTAAAGCTAGACCCCACTGTCACTCCCATTAGAATTAAAGCAAGAAGGGTCCCTTTTGCTTTAAAGAGTAAAATTGACACTGAGTTGGATAAACTGATCCAACAAGGAATTCTAGAACCTGTGGATTCCAGTCCATGGGAGACCCCCATTGTCACGCCTCTTAAGGCAAATGGGGACGTTCGCATCTGTGCAGATTACAAATGCACTCTAAATAAGGCATTGCAGCAACATGCCTATCCTGTTCCTGTGGTCAGTCATATCCTGGCCTCCCTCAAAGGGGGGCGCGTTTTTGCAAAGCTTGACCTAGCTCAAGCATATCAACAGCTGCCTGTTGATGATGATGCTGCTATAGCTCAGACTATTGTGACCCACAGAGGGGCTTTCAAGGTAAAGAGACTTCAATTTGGAGTAAATGTCGCTCCTGGGATTTTCCAAAGCGTAATGGGAAACACACTACGGGGTATACCAGGGGTTTGCCCCTATTTTGATGATGTCTTAATTGCAGGAGACTCTACAAACATTCTAGCTGAAAGGCTAAGGGCTGCCCTGTTAAGATTCAGGAAAACGGGACTCAAACTCAAGAAGGACAAATGTAAAATTGGGGTGCCTTCTACTGAGTTTCTGGGGTTCAAAATTGATGCTGCTGGGATTCATCCTGCTGAATCCAAACTAAAAGCCATTATGCAAGCCCCTAGGCCAAAGTCTAAGGCCGAACTACAGGCTTTTCTGGACCTTCTGAATTTCTACAATTCCTTTCTTCCACATAAGGCTAGTGTAGCTGAGCCTCTTCACAGGCTATTAGATAAACAGGCAGTGTGGCAGTGGTTACAAACACATGAGGCAAGTTTCAATGAGGTCAAGGCTTTGCTCACTTCTAACAGTGTACTTGCTCACTTTAATGAGTCCCTTCCTGTGTGCATCGCTTGTGATGCTTCCCCTTATGGGGTAGGTGCTGTACTGAGCCACCTCAGGTCTGATGGAACTCAGGTTCCTGTTGCATATTACTCCAGAACATTGTCTTCAGCCGAGCGCAACTATGCTCAAATAGACAGGGAGGCCTTAGCTGTTGTTGCTGGAATTAAAAAATTCCATGATTTTTTGTATGGTAGGCATTTCACGGTCTTCACTGACCATAAGCCTTTGCTGGGACTGTTTACCACAGGTAAACAAACTCCCCAAATCATCTCCCCCAGGATGCTAAGGTGGTCTATCTTTTTGTCTGCATATGATTTTTCCCTACTTCACAAGCCTGGGAAAGAAATGGGCCATGCTGATGGCCTCAGTAGATTACCCCTGCCGGTAATAGAGGCTGACCCTGCACCAGCTATCAATATTCTCTCTATTCAAACCTTGCCCGAGTCCCCCCTGAATGCCAGGGATGTAGCCACTGAATCAGGCACAGATCACACACTTTCACGTGTCCTTTCTTGGGTTTTGTCTGGATGGCCTGAGCACTGTCCTAGTCCTGAGTTTCAGAGTTTCTGGTCTAAAAGGAACGAGTTGTCCACCTCTCAGGGTTGTCTGCTTTGGGGAAGCAGAGTTGTCATTCCCACCTCAATGAGGACTAAGTCTTAGGTTCCCTCCACGAGGGTCATCCTGGCATTGTACGAATGAAGGCCCTTGCGCGCAGCCACTTGTGGTGGCCGGGGGTAGACAAAGACATAGAAGCCAAGGTGCATGCTTGCCACCTTTGTCAACGCTCACGCCTGAAATGCCCCAAGCTCCTGTGCATAGATGGGAGGAAACACAGTCTCCATGGTCTAGGGTGCACATTGACTACGCTGGACCCTTTCAGGGTCAATTCTTCTTGGTCCTCGTTGACAGCCATTCAAAATGGCTTGAGGTTGTACCTGTCTCTTCCACCACCACTGCAAAGACTATTCAGGTACTGAGGGGGATTTTTGCTGCACACGGGCTCCCAGACGTCATTGTGTCTGACAATGTCCCTCAATTCACTTCCTCCGAATTCCAAGCTTTCTTGCAGGCTAACATGATTCGTCATGCCACTTCTGCACCTTTCCACCCGTCCACCAACAGTATGGCTGAACACATGGTTCGCATCACCAAGGACACCTTGAAGAAGCTCACCTACGGAGACTGGCATCACAGGTTGGCTGACTTCCTCCTTTCTTATCACACCACATCATCCACTTCTACAGGGAGAAGCCCAGCTGAACTTCGTTGGGGGCGCAAACTGACTACCAAGCTTGACCGGTTGCATCCGGACAGACTGCCTCCTTCTGTCTCACACCCCAGGGCACCTAGACAACTACTTGTAGGTGCCCCGGTTTGGACTCGTAGTTACGGGCCGGGTCATACATGGGTCCCCGCTTCTATATCCAGGGTCACAGGTCCTCTTTCCTACGAGGTGTCCCTGGACAATGGTCGTGTCCTGCATCGGCACATCGACCAACTTCGCCCTAGACGGGACCTTCCTGCTGAGACTCCTGGGTCTTTTCCGGGGGGGGAGGGGGAACACTTTGGGCAAAGGGAAGGGCAAGGGCTGATGCCCATTAGCAATGGGGAAGCCACAAACGGCCCATTTCAAGATTCCGCAAGTGCTCCGAACAGGAATTCATGGAGCCCAACTAGAAGCCAGACATCAATGCCTACTCCAGCCAGGGAGTCACCCCGGGGGCACAATCATTACTCACCCGCATCACACAGTACTCCAGTCAGAGAGAATACCCGGGAGCATCCCAATAAACCATTCCCCGCAAGAGAGCTGGCACACACTCCTTCTAGTTGGCCCGACACTACCCCTGTCCCTAGAAGGGGGCAAACACACAGGGAGGTGGTCGAGGAACCAAATCCCGACTACAACACCTCTGACTTCACTCAGGGGACAACTGAGTTTTGGGACAGCACTGAAACCCACACAAGCCCGAACACAGAATGGGATTTAGGGGACAGACAGCCTTCTGACAGGTCTTGGACGGACCTAGGAGGCTCTACAGAAACGCCTAACAATGGCAATCACATAGAGGGGCCAGAGAGCCTACAGCTAGGCGGGTCAACCAGGTCATACACTGGAAGAAGCCCTGGCCTGACGAGCCCGGTGGGCAAGCAAGCAGGCCAGGCATTGGAGCACAGTCCTTGGGGGTCACCAAGGCATAATGGAGGGAACAGGCACACGTCACCCCTCAGTCAGGGAGTACCTGGCAAGCACCCAGAGCTTAGGAGGTCACAGAGAGCAAGGAAATCTCCTAAGTACTTGGAAGATTACATAACACTATTGGCAAAACAGAGCCAGTAACAATAGAGGCACAGAGACCGATGGTAACGGGAGCAGAGCACTGCACAGAAAATGGGTTGTGTGTTATTATGGCATTGGTCGTAGCTTTAGCCCGGGGGGAAGGGGTGTTGTGTCCTGGGCCTGTGCAAGCAGGCTCAGGGCATTGCAAAAGGTCCCGGGCAGGTGCAGGCTGCCCGGGACCAGACAGGCTGTCGCCAGTATGTGTGCGCATGCGCGGGTGCTGGCGCGCCAAAAGTAGCAGATTGACCCGGGAAAGGCCTATAAAAGGAGGCTGAGAGTTTTGGGCGTTGCCGCCATATTCCACTGTAAGCTGAACTGAAGATTAAAGGTTTCCTGAGAACTACAACTGTTTCTCGTGTCTTACCATTTCGCGACGGACTCAACATTAACTATAGCAGATGTACTCAAAAGATGGGGTAACAAAACTAAAAGTTTAGTTTCATAAAGATAGATCTCCATCTGCAATCATACATCTTTTTTAAAAAAATAAAGTCACAAATTGAATTAGGAATATGATTCAAAAGAAATCTTTCCCTCACATCAAGTTACATACATATTATTTTAATTTTCTAGTGAATATAAGTTTTTAAAAGTTACTCTTTTAAATTCTTTCATTGAAACCAAGGTCCACACAGAGGTGAAAGAATTAAGTTACTTTATATGCAATGATCCCAATTCAGATTGCATCTTTATTCTGTTATATCTGGAAAATTTACAAAGCCAGCTTAAAAATATATATGTAAATATGTATCAATATTTTACTTCTCATAAAACAGCCATATCAATCTGTCAGTAAGTAGAGAGTCTGCCTTTCTCTAAAAAGACAGATTCATGCCAAGGAGTTAAGGGATAGAGAACTTGTAGCCTTCCAGATGTTGATAATTCCCAGGATTATTTTCCATTGACAATGCTTAACTGGGTTTCTGAGTTATCTTAACAATAAGTCCATCTCTGATGTAAGACATATAGCAGATAATCTTTTCATTAAACTTCTAATATAATACATCGGTTTCATTTTTTTTGCTGACCTTTGATGTTGCTGAATTATCTTTTTTGTTTAATGCATTGATAGCACTACTACAATCAACCTGAAAAATAAATCAATAAAAACAAATCAATTTACAAAGACTACTTCAGAGAACAAATTTCATTAAATGATTTTTGTAATTCTGTAAAATCAAAGCAACTTACTTTTTTGGCACAAGTCATGGTAGAGATAACACATTTTTTTTCTCTAGCATTCCAGGTACAGTGCATATGATTACATTCTGAGCATCTAGTAGTACATGTTAAAAAACAGAATATGTAGCAATTAGCAAAGGTCATCAGCAAAAGTGTGAACAGTGGCCAGTAGCTAGGTCCTATTTATGATATTTACATATCATAAATATTAAATATTTGATACTGGATCTATCAGTAACAACCTCAACTTATTTTTACATTTATGATATGTTTAGATTTCTCGTTCTTAATAAATGGAATATTATAAATCCATACAAAATTAATTTAATAAATGTATCTTACGTTTTTGATAAGGAACAGATGTCAAATTCAAATATTTCTGATAACTTCCAAGTTCCTGAGATGAATGACACTTGAACTGAAAAAAAAATGAGAAGAAAATCCTTATATTATTAAGGGCATGGATACTTGAAAGCCTTACAACAAGTGAAATGCATTACCAAAGAAATATGAAATGTCTTAAAACAACAAACCTCTGAATAGATTGCACCTCTTACTATTTCATATGTCACACAGAATTGACCATCTCAATAAAAAGATGTTCTCTGTTTCTTGAATATTATAGTATAGTCAGAGTACCTTGCACAGAACCTCAAATGATGATACAATTGTACAGGGTGCACAGATCTCATCCACTTCTGCATGCATTATCTTTGCGATACTGTTAATGTAATTTCTGGGACTATCAACCTGCTTCTATGGGCAAAGTTTTTTAAGAGTGCTTTCTTCAGGTGAGTGGGGAGAAATCCTATCCCAAAGGTTCAGATAATGAAAGAGTTAAAGGAAAACTGAAATTTAATCCATCAATCAAATATAACTTGTCCATGTAGATAATGACCAAAGACTATCAGGGCCTGGAAAATCAAATTCCGAACTAATGAGGGGCAGAAAATTTCCCTATCCAGAACCGAGTAGCGGAACTCCATTTTGTCTTTTGTTCAGGTGGGAACTCTTTCCCAGGGCTGACTGAATGCCACTTAGAAGCCAAACTCCGATCCATTTAGCTCTGAATTGGCATTCAAGGAATTACATAGTACAGCTATCTAGTTACCACTGAGGCTGTATGTGGTATAAATTTACTTTTGTTTCAGAGACTAAACTGTGCTATTGGGATTTTGTTTTATCTGTTCTCTCTCTGTGTCTATAAAGGGGGGAAGGGCAGTGCAAGAAAGATCTGTTTTCAGTTATTCTGTTTCTTTTAAACTTCTCATTCTTAAGCTCAATATACATAATAAAGCATCTGCATTTCTTATGAAATCAGAGCTTTTTTTGACAAGTAATTTCTAGCATATTCTAACTATTCAGAGAAGGTTAAGAGTTTTACCATTTTCTACATAAGAATTGAAATTAGCAGAAAGTATGTTTTCTCTGGAATAAGACAGTTTCTTCCAAAGAATTGTGGGAAGGTGCAGGTGGATTATGGGTGGAAGATCTAAAATGGTTTTCTCAACCTTAGCTGCTTGAAGATGTGTGGGCTTCAGCCCCAGAATACTGAATGGGAAATTCTGGGATTTGAAGTCCACACAACTTCAAACTGCCAAAGTTGAGAAACACTGATCTAAAACTATGTCTCTATGCAATGCCCGTACCATTATAATACCTACAAATGTATTCATGCTTTATTTATTAGATTTTTTATCCCATCTATATACTTTACAAATATTATGTATGTTCACTCAAGGCAGTGTACATACATAGTACTCCTTCCTTCTCCTGTTTTCCCCACAACAACAATGTGCCTTTTTTCCTGTGTCATCCAATATTGTGGGAAATAGTCTTGCTTTAAGAAAGAATAGTAAGATACATATTAAAACTATACCATTTAAACAGCTTAATAGTACTTAAAACTATGATATGTTTTAATCACTATGAACTTTTTTATTGGTTTTCATGAAAATGGTGTTACAGGTAGTTTACAGGAAGTATTAGCATTATATACAAAGTCTAAAATAGCTAAGAACTAGGCTCCAATGGAAGAGAATATTTGAAGCTCAGGACTGAACTGTGTGGCCCTTGGTGCTCTCTGAGTCTGATTATTGTTACTTAGTTGGATAATGAAACTCTGCGAGAAAACAACCAAGCACCAAGAATTCCAAAGAACTAGGTTTCTTGAAACGATCTCTATGATTATCTTTGTCTCCTCCACTAACCTATGAAATAATTTCTCATGAGCATGCCAGACCTCCAAATTGATAATTTTTATGTAATTTTTTAAAACAAATGTATTTATGTTGGCTTTTCCCCAGTCATTGGAATTTTCCTAAACATTGTTTTTTTTCTTTTAAATTAGGTTTCTAATAATTAGCAGACCCATACCAATGTCAATATTCTAGATAAAGAATACATAGAAGAAATAAAAATAGAATAAATAAGTTGAAATGGATTAACTGCGCAAATAATTATATATTTATCTTTAGGTTGATCTGTGCATTCTTTTACATCTGTTATACACACTGATGCTAATGGATGTGTTTTCAGTCTTCTACAATGTCTTTTACTAATAAGATTAGATTGATATTTATTAAAATTGCTGTAATTGTGTCACCACAAGATTAGGCTGTATTCAACAGGTCAGATTTTATTTTTCTAGAATGCTGAATCGTTAAAGCAACTTCCTTAAACTTGCATTCATAGGGTGTGGTTATGTGAAAGCAAAATGGATCTTTAATTTCTTTCACCTTAATTAACCACATCTTCTATTCCCATGCAATATCTACCCAATAACATCACTCTGTAATAATGGTTCAAAATTTGTTTGCCAAAGAGTTCCCCTTTTCTTTTAAGCAAAGTTGCTAAAACTCAATATATATAAATATTTCTATAGGAATGTATTAAAAAATGACATAATAATTACTATAATTCTCCAGATACCCAAGACCATAACCAGTCATCCTCCAAATATATTGGTATAATAAGTATCTTCTAGGAAATTCTAGAAAATATCGTCTCATTTCTAATATACTTGAATTGCAAGAAAACCCTTTCAGGAGAAGCAAAGTTCCATTTTTAGGATGTCACTTCTTTTTATGCTGTTTATTTCAAGCAGAGTGATACTGTGTTTCCCTGAAAATAAGACCAGGTCTTTTTTTTTGCCTCCAAAAGAGACACCATTCTTATTTTCAGGGGATGTCTTTTCCAGAGTCTCACCTCGTGGCAGCATCACCAAGACTCACCCAGCCAGCCCACTTTTCTGTGGCCTCTTGCTGCTGCTCACAGGCATCATCACCAGCCTCCATTTCACTGTCAGAGGTCTTCCGGAAAGTCCTCTGCAGCTGAGAACCCAGCTCCGGAGTGACGTGCATAGCACACCTGACCTCCAGGGGGCGCAGTGTGTCAATCCGGAGCTAGGGTTTCAGCTGCAGAGGCATTTCCTGAAGGCCTCTGATAGCAAAATGGAGACTGGGGGCCACAGATTGGACATGCCTGCACTAGACCAAATTGGCTTTCTTTTGCAGGTTGCAGATTGCTATCAATTTATAAAATACTTGGAATTAGAAGACTTTCAACATTATTGGGTATATTAATCCAATATGCAACCAGGCAAACCCAATGAAAATACATTGTAATGGATAATTTATGTATGATAGATACCAAGTTATTTTCAAAGGCATAGAAATGAAATAGATAGAAGATGTGACTACATATGCCATATGTCATATTTCATACAAATGAAAGATATGGTCAATAGCGCTGGAACTCTTAAATATGATTCTTGTTTAGGTACTCCTCTCCCTTTTCCTTTCTGGTATTGCTATGAAGAAATTAATTTTTTTTCTCAGTTTCATTTAACAGAGATTTATTTTTATTTCCAGATCTTAGGATGCAAATACTTATAATAATACTTCAGGAAAATAGACTAAGATTCTTTAAAGTTTGTATCTCTTAATCACAATTTAGATGTGGCACAATATTAAACTGTATTTAACCTTAAAAAATGAGAATTGCCAATCCACTCTTACTGAAGGAAGGGAAAAGAAATGGATCGGAAATTTATTTGTATCGTTTTCAATCATTATTTGGCATTACGTTTGATCAAGACCTTAGAGTCTATTGTTAATGCAAATTTTAGTTAATTATTACATAGATATTACTACCTTTCTCTTTAGAATTTATTATTATGATTCATTCGCTGTCAGCCATATGTTTAGATTGGATTTGGCATTTTTTTATCCATCTATCAAGTCCTTCTCCAAGGACCTGGGATAGGCAGATGTTGTTGTTTGATGATATTAAAGATATCATCACAGAATGTAAATTGTTCCAACTAGCTTCTGCAACTGTGTGATGATGATTTTGTCAATGGTGATGGTGTTCAACTGCTGCTCCAGATACTTTGTGATTGCAGCCAAGGCACCCAGTACTATTGATGCTATTTCTATTTTCTCTTGCCATAATCATTTTGCTTCTATTTGCAGATCTTTGTATTTTGCACTTTTTTCCAGTTCTTTCCCTTCTACTCTGCTGTTTCTAGCTACTGCCATGTCCACTATCCAGTTTTTTTGTCTTTCTTATTGACAATTGTTATGTGGCAGGTGAAACAAATGAGTGTTTTCAGTCTTAAAAAATAGTTGTATAGCTGATTCAACTTTACATTCAAATTGGATACTTTCTTCCTTTCTCATAATCTCTTTGAAAAAGGAAGTGAAAATGATGAAATCAGTTACTACGTATTTCCCAATATGTTTGCAAATCAACATGAGTACAGTGTTGGTATCTGCTGAGGTTGTAGAAGAGCAGTGAGCAACAGAATTATGCAAATCGTTTTTGCCCATACATTTTAAAAGCTAATAGATTTAGGCACCCGAATTTTGAAACTTTGAAATTTTTAGCACTTTGTAATTCTTGAAGTCACCTACAAACATTTATTTCTGCCCTAAAAGATGTAATAACAAAACAATGGAGAATTTTCAGTGTTTTATTACTTGCTTAAAGATCTTATAGATCAAAATAATGTATATTTTTTTTTAAAAATCTAACAATAAAGCTATTGCACTGCAATGCCCAAAAGTATTATAGCTGACATTATTTATTAATGGATATGAATGTACTTATAATTGCATTGAACTTAGAAGGCAGTTACAAAATATACATGTCCATTTTGCTTCAATAAAAATGCCGACAGGAAAGCAAGTGATTGAAATATACTATTATACCGTGGCTAAACATTGGATAGGTTTCATAAAGAAATGTGTATTATTTTCTTCTCTTAAAAAGGTCTTATAAATAATGCATAAGTAAAACTATAATTATAGCAATGAATAATACAAAACAGCCCAACAATAAAATGGCCATTCAAATGGACTGCAGATTTTCCAAAGCATATGAGAAAGTTGAATCCCTTGTATATTGCCAACTTTGGTTTTTGGAAATGGTAGTCAACAGCTAAGGAGAAATTAGAAGTACAGTTGACCTTTCTTAGGTCAGTGTAAAAAAAATTATGGCTTTGTTGAAATTGCTGCAAATCTGATGCTGGAAAATGTGTTATTACTATGTCGCATAGTAAAGAAAGGGATTGGTGGATTTCCCCAGATTTTCATCCCTTCTTTCCCACAAACTGTCAACACCTGACTGAAAAGCGTTCCTTGCTTAACACTGGATAAGGATAGAATGATGAGTTTTAACAGCCAAACTCCTGCAGCACTTGCCATTTCTTTGAGCTGCCTCACTCCCTCCACTTTTCTCAGACTGTGAATTTCCTTCCTGCTGCACAACTAGCCTCTTCCCCCTCCCCAGCTGTAAGTCATTTCTTTTAAAACACAAATAGAGATCTGCACTAAGCCCATGTTTAAAAGTAGCCTTGATAATACTGATCTGGGGAAGGACATATACAATGCAATGGAAAATTCAAATTCAAATTGAATCTCACTAAATTATAGCACTATGCTATGCTGTCAGTCCACTTGAAGCATGGGTTTAGTAGTCTTTGGAAAGAATGCTAATCCTATGTTTAAAAGTAGCCTTTTAAAGATGAGACAGGCTCTATAGGGAGACTTCATAGTATAGAGGACTCTCCCTCCCTCTATAGTGTGTAGACCCCCGGTTTCTTTCAATTAGCTAACTTAAAATGTGAATCAGCTCAGAGATCTGCAAGTAGAAGGACAGAAATTGAATTGAAAGATCTGCCCAAATCAGTAGGTATTGGCCCTGGAGGACAATACCCAGAAACTAGAGGAGAGTGGCAGAGCCCACATCAGCCTAAAATATCTTCACATTCCTAAAGTGGTCAAGAGAAGTTAAGTCAAACCTATCTCTTGGGATCAGTTTAATACATCCCTGACAGAATGATTGGCACAGCTTGTCAGTTTATATCCATTGCAACAAATACGTTGTGGTAAGAAGAAAAACTTACTTTTAAACCAGAAGAGTTAAAGATATTTGAAAGCTGCCTCAGATGATATCAAGGGACTAGGTCAGTATCAGACAGTGGTAAGCTTGTCAGGGAATGTTTATAGTGTGGTTAGATGCAGGTGAGGAAAGGCCCAATGAGTGGTTCAAATATTGATTTTCTATCTTTTAGGAAACACTTAAAGAAAAGAACCTCTGCCAGAAAAACATGCTCGTAATCTGAATCATGTTTGTATTAGTGGACATATAATTTAAATTCTAATGGACTGTATTTTTTAAAGAAGCATATATGGTTGATACAGGCTGCAAGAAGTAAACTAGTGGACAACCCATGAAAGTTTAACCATTATTCCTAATTAAAAAAGATTAGGATGGGTGTAAAGATCCATATATTGTAGCATAATGGCAAAGGTCTGAATAATGGCTAGATCTGGAATAGATTCAAAAAGATTACAGTTGCCAATCAGGATTATGGTTCAATTTATTTTAATCATCTATGTAGTACGATCTAGGATAGATTTGAATAACCAGCTTGCCCCCATGTAAATATGGGCCACTGGCCACTCTTAAGAGCAGGAAAACTTGTTGACATCAGGTCTAGGACAACTAGCCACAGCCAACTCATCACAACCAACTTGCACGGCCAACTCACCATAGTCAACTTGTCGTGGCCAACACACCACGGGACAATTCACCACAGCCAACTCATCATGGGACAGCTTACCGTGGACAAAAGTTACATAATATCAAAGAAATGGTGAAATAGAATCATTAAAGAATGTAAAAGGAAAGACAAAATGAAATGTGAATGAAAAATATTAAAATATTTTTTTAATTATTTTAAATAATTAAGTAAAATTGTTGAAATGTCCCTTGGTATGTTGTCCCACATGAATTGGCTGCAGAGAGGTATCCCATGGTGAATTGGCCATAGCAAATTGGCAGCAGTGAGTTGGCCACGACAAGTTACCTGTGGCTAGTTGTCTTATTTTGTGTTGACATCTACTTACCTCTAGCCATCCAGAAAGACAACCTCCATCTGTTTTTTCTTGTTCTATATATGGACTTTAAAAAAAAATTCTTACTAGCCTTGCTGTCTATGTTGTCTTTTGCACTTCACTTCATTGCAGGCAGCCCCCTTTACTCCAACTGGCTGTGATGCCATATTGCAAGAATTTCCCTATAGCTGATTACAACCCTTCTTGGCCATCTGTTTATTTTACATATTTATCCGTAAATAAATGAAAGTCTAGCTTTTTTTAAAAAAAGTTACATGATAGAACATTGGAACAGTGAAATGGTGGATCTTTTTTTCTTTCTTTTTCAAATTAGGTAAAATTGACAAGATGTTACATTTTTGCCTTCCTTTTGCCCCTTCCTTCATTTCTTCCTGTCTTCCCTCCCTCACTCCCTTGTCAACTATTAGGGGGCTCAAACAAAAGAACTGTTACTGGAAATCTTGTGTCCTTGAAGCCCCTGCTGGGTCATTGGTGCTTGCTTTCCTGACAGGCATAGGACGGGTAAAGCAGTAGTGAAATCAATCAAATATAGTAAACATAGTATAATCATATATCAGGCCATCACCATGGCCAATGTGAAGAAATTGAAATCTGGAAAAGGCTTTCTTAAACTGGCTTTGCTTCCATGATTTTAAGGCTGGAGTGTGGAGCGTATTTTTTTCACACAGGTTTTTCACACATCAACCAAAGGAGCATTTTTAATAACATAACTGAATTCATTATTACATTAAGTAATATTTTATTATATAGTTGAGTCTAAAGGGGGTTATGTTATGATGAACATGCAACGCAAATATTAGCTAATAACAAATTAGTTATTAACTAATAACTAATCCCTTTGCACTGAGTTTAATTGTTAAGGGTAAATTTTGAATTTTTATGTATAACTAGAGAAATGATATTGCCAGATATGGAAATATCAGCTTACAAATCTGAAATATAAAAAAGCTCACCTTCTGATCGATCTTCAAAATTTATATCACAGGAACAATTCAGATGGCGTTGATTCACATCACAAAGAATTTCATTGGTCCTTGCATTTAACATCTTGCAACGGGAATGTGCTTCAGAAAGACCAAAAGAATTTACATCTACTCTCACATGAATCTAAAAGAATAAGAACATTGAAAACAATAAATTTATTCAGTGCTAGTTATAAAATTGCCAATTTTATCCTGACAGTGAGCTATGGAGTAGAAATCTGCTGAAATCTGTGCAACTCCACTGATTAAATCCAAATAATCAACTATGAAACAGGATCTATCCAGGTTTCCTTCCTTCTGTTCCCAGTCTAATAATGATTTAATATATGTAGTGATGCATGGCTTCTTTTGTTTAAAATGTAGTAAAAATAACTTGAAAATTAAAGTACATCCTTATGATGATCATGAATCTGGAGGGCCCCATGTTAGCCAGACTGGTTAATCTATTTTGTATAGCTTTTTAATACAGATGAATATTTAGAAATTTGAAAGTCATAAAATATAAATAGCATTGCTATGATAAGTACAACTGATAGAAAACCTCTGTGGCATGGGTTACTTTCTACAGAGAAGGATCTACTGTGTGCTCCAACAGCAGCAAAAATATTAGCTGAATATACAGTTCTGTATTACCACTTTTTCAACTTTTATTTACTTGTGTTTAATTTACTGGATTGGATCCAATGATAAAGTATTACAATCATGACTATATCTAGATCTGACCCATTATTCTACTTTTATTGACACAATGAGAGATACTATTCTTGGAAAGGAGGTTACTAAGGACTACTGATCTTACAATTGCACAACCCTGCAACAGTTTTCATTGGTAAAAACTAAAAAAAAGGGTAATATTTTTACTCAAGTGGCTGGAGCACTACACTAACGCAATATTATCATAGCCTCAAAATCACCATTGCTAACCATTTAATTACTATTACTGACTTTATTCTATGTATAGTGAATTATGAAGTACATACCTTACTATTTTTGAGTTGAGAAGTATAGATTTTCAGGCACTTATTGATGCTGTATGAAATATTTACCCAGTTAGGTGAGTTACTAGAAAATGAACATTCTCCTTTTAAAGTGCAGCTGAAGAAAATACAAATATATTTGTTACAGAAATACTAAAACATGTTTCGACTCTATATAGCAATTCACACTAACTGTTTTTCACTAGCCATTTCTGAATGCTTTCCTCAGCTCATAATAGGCTGAAAGGATGTGTTTTACATCAAATATGGTTTAGGGGTTCTACCCCATTTCTATTCAACTATTTTTTTTTAAAGTTGCTGTATTGTTTATGTAAGCAATGCAAGCATTCCTGAGAAACACATTGGCCTAACCAGATTATCATGCTCTGCTGCATTTGCTTATATGGTATAGTTTAGATTTCTATGATTCTATAAATTATTTTACAAAACAGCCAAAGCCAGGACTCAGTGTAATGACTTGACATTCAGATTTGGAGAGGCCTAATTTTAAAGTTTTGGAAGCCTGGAATTAAGAACATGAAGAAGTTCAACTAGATTGGATTAAAATTCATTGATCTTTATATAATTTTTGGGAATAGCTCGTAGAACTCACAATTGCTAGCAGGGAATTCGTGGACTTGTAATTCCTATATTCTAGAAAAACAGCACCATTTTCTTTTTAAAGCTGGCATGCAAGCTGTTTCTGGCAGGTTTATATAAAGAGCATTATTTATTTTGCTTTGGGAAAAAAAACTAAATAAACCTTAAACGAAACTTCTGATTTCTCTCATTCAGGCACTTAAAAGATCTTAAGCAAAGATATTGCTTCGTTTGAACACTGTTATGGAATCCAATGCTCTTTGGAGCAAAGAGGTTCCAAAGAATGTTGTCCTTAGATTCGTCCATCTGAAACATAGCATAAATACTGAAATGTATTTCCGCAGAAATTAATTTATAATTTTAGGAGTCACATAATTGCAAAATCTGAGAATCCCTGCCTTAGTGAAAATCCCTATAACTACAGAAATAAAAAAAATCTGACTCTCTCTTTCTTTCTTTTCCTTCCTTCCTTCCTTTTTTTCTTTCTTTCAAAACACACATAATTTTGAACATTTAGACTGTCCATGAAATATTAATTATGTTGCATTACAATATTAATTAAAAGATAAATACCTTTTCTTTGTATGGCACCATCCACAGTGTGGGTCCATTGCAGATAAACAATCTCTACAGGAAATATATTTGCTGCAATTTGCAACCTGTATTCTCCTGATCTGAAAAAATTAAAAAGTACCTTTTGCAAATTCCTTATCAGCCATTCCAAGCAAATCAAATAATATTTTAATGAGTTCAAGATACACAAAAAAGAATAGCTATTTTAAATAAAGTTATAACTCTTAAAAATATAGGGAGGTATTCAAACAAATATGCTTTATTAGAATACTAGAATAAAGTTGGTATTTTGGATATGTTGATACCAATTTCTCACTTTTCAATCTTTTACAATTAATCATTTGTGAACTTGATTTTAGCTTATCCTAGCTGGCAAAAGCTGACTGATAAATAACAAGTCTTTGGCTGCTAGTTTATATTGTATTGATTATAGATAAAATACAGGTGTTTTCTGATGATATGTTGATCATTTTAGAAAAGCCTTTGGAAGGAATAGAAATATTAATAAAAAATCTAAGCATTTGGGGGGTAATAATTTTAAAAATTAGCAAGCAAAAGATGAAGATGCTAACAAAGAATTTGAAAATGGAAAAACAAAGGGAACAGATGGAAATAATTGATTTAACTTTTTTTCTTGAAATGTATCTGTATTACTATGACTAGCATGAATTGTATTTTATAATTGCAGAACAATTATGTTAAAGCCTAGAATTAAGAAGATGTTGAAAGAGGAGAAATTACTATTGTCCAGCATGCCCAGCCTGGTTCTTTGCAAGGCAACTGCTGGCCATGTGAAGCAACTTCCCCAGGTTTCATGAGAATGGGAGGCTATTTGGAGAGCAGGAGGCCCCTGTTCGAGTGATAATTTGAAAGAACTTAAAAGCCTTCCAAAGGCTTTCTGAAGCACTGCGAGAACAGGAACCCCTATTTGGACAACACTGCAGGTGATTTGGAGAACGGTCCAAATGGCCTCGAAAAGAAGGCCTGGCATAACCAACAGCTACCAGGTGTGCAGTAGCAGCAGGAAAAAGATGGCAATGGCAGCTACATACATCAGGGCCTGGTGGAGGAAGAGCAATGGAAGCTGTTATGTCCCGAGCCTTTGCAAACGGCTCGGGCGTTTGCAGGCAGTCCCGGGCAGGTGCAAAGCTGCCCGGGACCAGACAGGCTGTCGCCAGCGCCGTGCGCATGCGCGGGTGCTGGCGCGGGAAAAGTACCCCATTTACCCGGGAGTTGCCTATATAAGAGGCTGCGAGGCGTTTGGGCGAGGCTGAAGCCATCTTCCTGTAAGCTGAACGCTGATAAAATGAAACTGAGAACTCCAGCTGCTTCTCGTGTCTGTTTTCCCGCCAAGGACTCAACACTGGCGACGAAGGGTGGGATGCCTTGCACTACCTGGAAAGGAAAAAGTGTAAGCTTACCCAGGAGAGTCCTGAGCGGCGAGAGGAGGAACGGTCGTCGACGGCAGCAGCTGCCCGCCAATCCGGCGCGCATTCGGGGTAGTAGGCTGGCTGATAGACGTCGTCTCCTGAAGATCCGAAGATGGCGAAAATCGGAAGGCTTTCGGAATTCGACGTCTCACATCCAGAGCGGTGGGAGTCCTACGTATCCAGAATGGAGAACTACTTCAAGGCAAACCAAGTGAGGGAAGATAGCTTGAAGGCCGCCACCCTGCTTTGCGTTTGCGGCCAAGACGCCTTCGAAATCGCAGAAAATCTTGTAGCACCTGTTCCAGTAGAGTCTGTAAGCTACGCAGACCTGAAGAAGCTGCTGAAAGAGCACTTCCACCCCAAGGTGTCCGTTATCTCATGGCGCCACACCTTCGAGCAGAGGGATCAACGGTCCGGTGAAACAGCCAAGGAATACATCGCCGCGCTACGGAAGGCCGCCAAGCCCTGCGAGTTCAAGGACCTCGAGGAACGACTGAGGGACCGATTCGTGTGCGGGCTAAGGCATCGAGAGCTACAACAGAGACTTTTTGCCAAGGAAGAATTATCCTTCCAAGACGCCTTAAGGGAAGTCACCGCAGAAGAAGCAGCAGGCGGCGCCATCAAAAACATGCGGCCGATCAGAAACAGTGCAGAGGGTGCGTCCGTGCACCAGGAAGACGTCCGACGAAACTCCGAGGAGGATCCGGACGAGGAAGTCGACCGTCTACACCCCGCGAAGGAAGAGAACCAGAAGGGAAGCTCTTCGGCTCTGCTCAAGTGCATCGGCTGTGGAGGTCGCCACAGGAGAACCGACTGCAAGTTCCGCTCCGCTACCTGCCGGGCATGCGGCAAACAAGGGCATATTGCAGCTGTGTGTCTGAGCCGACGAAAGGCACAACCCCAAGAAGAACGCCTGAAAGGTACCAGATTCCCCAGCCAGAATAGGGTAGGGTTTTGCGCTTCGCGAAGAAGCATCTGTAGAACAGGCACAACAACAAGCCCATGAAGAAAAAAGCTGTCACTCAACGTGAAGCTACAAGGGGTTCCATTATCTATGGAACTAGACACAGGGTCTGCCCTGTCCCATCATTTCATTGCATACATTTAGGAAGATTTTTTTCCAGAAGTGGGTCCTAAGGCCAAGTTAAGGCCTTCTGATATTGTATTAACAGATTTTCAGAACTCAAGAGTGTGTGTTAAGGGGGAGGCCACCCTTAACGTGCAATACAAGAGTTTTGAAGGTCCACTAGACTTATTAGTAGTAGGGGGTGAACGAACGAGTCTCATAGGACTCGATTGGTTTGAGGCCCTGGGGATACACGTCACAGGACTCAACAGCTTACAAACACTCGACCTACAGGAAGTCTGCAAAGAATTTGCAGATGTTTTCAGCCCCCAGCTGGGCACATTCAAAGGACCACCTGTGTCCTTAAAGCTAGACCCCACTGTCACTCCCATTAGAATTAAAGCAAGAAGGGTCCCTTTTCTTTAAAGAGTAAAATTGACACTGAGTTAGACAAACTGATCCAACAGGGAATCCTAGAACCTGTTGATTCCAGTCCTTGGGAGACCCCCATTGTCACGCCTCTAAAGGCAAATGGGGACATTCGCATTTGTGCTGATTACAAATGCACACTCAATAAGGCATTGCAGCAACATGCCTATCCTGTTCCTGTGGTCAGTAACATCCTGGCCTCTCTCAAGGGGGGGCGTGTTTTTGCAAAGCTTGACCTAGCTCAAGCATATCAACAGCTGCCTGTTGATGATGATGCTGCCATAGCTCAGACCATTGGGACCCACAGGGGAGCCTTTAAAGTAAAAAGGCTACAGTTTGGAGTAAATGTCGCTCCTGGGATTTTCCAAAGCGTAATGGAAAACACACTACGAGGTATACCAGGGGTCTGCCCCTACTTTGACGATGTCTTGATTGCAGGAGACTCCACACACATTCTAGCTGAAAGACTTAGGGCTGTCCTGTTAAGATTCAGGGGATCAGGCCTCAAGCTCAGAAAAGACAAATGCAAGATCGGGGTGCCTTCTACTGAATTTCTGGGATTCAAAATTGATGCTGCTGGGATTCATCCTGCTGAATCCAAACTAACTGCTATTTTACAAGCACCCAGGCCAAAGTCTAAGGCCGAACTTCAGGCCTTCCTAGGCCTCCTGAATTTCTACAATTCTTTTCTTACACATAAAGCTAGTGTAGCTGAGCCTCTTCACAGGCTACTAGACAAACAAGCTGTGTGGCTGTGGTCACAATCACATGAGGCTTGCTTTAAAGAAGTCAAGGCCTTGCTCACTTCTAACAGTGTTCTTGCACATTTCAACGAGTCTCTTCCTGTGTGCATCGCTTGTGATGCATCCCCCTACGGGGTTGGAGCTGTCCTGAGTCACCGCAGGTCTGATGGAACTCAGGTTCCTATTGCATACTACTCCAGAACACGTCTTCTGCCCTGAGCGCAACTACGCCGATAGGACAGGGAGGCTCTGGCTGTTGTTCGCTGGAATTCAAAAAATCCACTATTTCTATTATGGCAGGCCATTCACGGTCTTCACTGACATAAAAGCCTATGCTGGGACTGTTTACCCCCGAAGCAGACTCCCACATCATTTCCCCTAGAATGCTTAGGTGGTCTATTTTCTTGTCTGCATATGATTTTTCATTACTCCAACAAGCGGAAAAGAAATGGGCCATGCTGATGGCCTCAGTAGGTTGCCTCTGCCAGTAGTAGAAGCTGACCCCGCGCCAGCTGTCAACATTATATCAATCCAAGCCTTGCCCGAGCTCCCTCTTAGTGCCAGGGATGTTACCGCTGAAACGGGTACAGATCACACACTTTCACGTGTCCGCTCCTGGGTCCTGTCCGGGTGGCCTGAGCACTGCCCTAGTCCTGAGTTTCAGAGTTTCTGGTCCAAAAGAAACGAACTGTCCCTTTCTCAGGGTTGTCTGCTTTGGGGAAACAGAGTTGTCATTCCCACCTCGATGAGGACTAGGGTCTTAGAATCCCTCCACGAGGGTCATCCTGGCATTGTTCGTATGAAGGCTCTTGCGCGCAGCCACTTGTGGTGGCCTGGTTTAGATAAAGATATTGAGGCTAAGGTGCATGCATGCCACCTGTGCCAACGATCTCGCCCAGAGATGCCCCAAGCTCCTGTGCATAGATGGGAGGAAACACAGTCCCCATGGTCTAGGGTGCACATTGACTACGCTGGGCCCTTTCAGGGCCAGTTCTTCTTGGTCCTTGTTGACAGCCATTCAAAATGGCTTGAGGTTGTGCCTGTCTCATCCACCACCACTGCAAAGACTATTCAGGTACTGAGGGGGATTTTTGCTGCACACGGGCTGCCAGATGTCATTGTGTCCGACAACGGCCCTCAATTCACCTCCTCCGAATTCCAAGCTTTCTTACAGGCAAACCTGATTCGTCATGCCACGTCTGCGCCTTTTCACCCGTCCACCAACGGTATGGCTGAACGCATGGTGCGCCTCGCAAAGGACGCCTTGAAGAGACTCACCTACGGGGACTGGCATCACAGGGTGGCTGACTTTCTCCTTTCTTATCGCACCACACCGTCCACTTCTACAGGGAGAAGTCCAGCTGAACTTCGTTGGGGGCGCCAACTTACTACTAGACTTGACCGGTTGCATCCGGACAGACTGCCTTCATCTACCTCACATCCTAGGGCACCTAGACAACTACTTGTGGGTGCCCCGGTTTGGGCTCGCAATTACGGGCCTGGTCATACATGGGTCCCCGCTTCTGTGTCCAGGATCACAGGTCCTCTCTCCTACGAGGTTGCCCTGGACAACGGTCGTGTCCTGCGTCGGCACATCGACCAACTTCGCTCTAGGCGAGACTTTTCTGCTGAGACTCCTGGGTCTTTTCCAGGGGGGGGAGGGGGACCCTTTGGAGCAAAGGGAAGGGCAAGAGCTACTGCCCACCTCCACTGAGGGAGCCACAAACGGCCCATCCCAAGGTTCTGCAATTGCTCCGAAAAGAAAGTCATGGAGCTTACCCACACAACAGGCACTCACGCCTACTCCAGCCAGGGAGTCACCCCGGGGGCATACTCACTTTCCACACACATCACACAGCACTCCAGCAACGGAGGATACCCGGGGGCATCCCAACAAATCATTCCCCGCAAGAGAACTGGCACACAATTCCCAAGGTTGGCCTGACCTTACCCCAAATCCTACAGGGGGTCAAACATACACAGAGTTAGTCGAGGAACCAAGTCCCGACTACAACAACCCTAGCACAAATCAGGGAACACCTGAGTTTTGGGAAAGTACTGAAACCCACACGAGCCCGAACACAGAATGGGGTTCAGGGAATGGACAGCCTCCTGACAGGTCTTGGACTGACCTAGGAGGTTCTACAGAGACGCCCAGCAGCGGCTATCACTTCAAGGGGCCTGAGGGTCTACAGCTAGGTAGGTCAACCAGGTCACAAAGTAACAGAAGCCCTGGCCTGACGAGCCCGGTGGGCAAGCAAGCAGGCCAGGCATCGGGGCACAGTCCTTGGAAGACACCAGGACACAATAGAGAGAACAGGCTCACGCCTCCCTCCAGTCAGGGGACTTATGCCAGTAATCCACAGCTAAGAAGGTCACAGAGAGCAAAGAAATCTCCCAAGTACCTAGAAGACTACATAACATTGCTGGCAAGGCAAAGGCCAGTAAACAGTGGGAGCACTGGGGGAGCAAAATGTCATATAAAATAAATGTTGTATGTTGGTAGTAGTTTTAGCCCGGGGGAAAGGGGTGTTATGTCCCGAGCCTTTGCAAACGGCTCGGGCGTTTGCAGGCAGTCCCGGGCAGGTGCAAAGCTGCCCGGGACCAGACAGGCTGTCGCCAGCGCCGTGCGCATGCGCGGGTGCTGGCGCGGGAAAAGTAACCCATTTTACCCGGGAGTTGCCTATATAAGAGGCTGCGAGGCGTTTGGGCGAGGCTGAAGCCATCTTCCTGTAAGCTGAACGCTGAATAAAAGAAACTGAGAACTCCAGCTGCTTCTCGTGTCTGTTTTCCCGCCAAGGACGCAACAGAAGCAATGACAGAGGCCCGAGGCAATAGCAGCTGGCTGAAACTATCAAAGTTTTCAGGCGTCTACTTCAGCCCCAGGCCTTCCGCTGCTAAAGAGGTGTGCTGCCATGCAAAAGGCATGGATGGGGGAAGATTGGAAGATTGGGGACTAGTTAAAACTCACTTCTTTCGATGCCATTTTAACTTTGAATGTGGCTGAACAAATGGTCATAAATCAAGGACTGCCTATAGCAAAATTTAGGTTGAAAACGTGGACAAGAAAGGTCATGTTATTTTAAATTCAAATACACATAATAATTAAGAAGATGTTGAAAGAATTTTAAAGATTAACATTCAACTAAAACAAACATTTTTCCTACTGGGATTAATGGACAGACTATCAAAAAAGAATTATGGGGTATTATTTTTAAAGATGTTCCTTTTGTGAGACTACTATATGCACAAAACTGGAAAGAGTTTAAAACAAGTACAATGGAGGAATGCTTGTTGAAGAAGACAGAAGTAGCAGAAATGGTAAAATAGACTTATCTGATCAGAGAAAGATTAACATCTACATTTTTAGTAGTTGGAAACTCTTTAAGGACTTTTTTGCTGAAGAAAGAAAAAATTGATCTACGGCTTTGACGATTAGAAAGAATAAACTATGGAAACAAGAAAATTTTCATGTAACGTTAGAAAGGGAAGATAAAATATAAATACATTTATAACAGTTGTTAAGAAGATTGAAAATTGTGTCTTTATAATTTTTCTTTTTTTCTATTTTCTTTTCTTACTATTTACTACTTTTATTTTCTTTAATATTTTCTATAAATATTTTCAATATTTATATTGTTTTTACCTTAAAACACACAATTATATGTACAGTATATTCTCAGACATAAACACACACACACTTAAGTTCCAGATTAGTACAACTTTTAATTATTGTTTTAAATCTTATGAGCCATTTTGATTGCTGAGGCTCTATACTTTATTTGTGAACTGAAGTTGAAATGTGAGCTGCTGCATTAATGTTTTAATGTTCTATTTAATTATTTTGTATATATCTAACTATAGGCAAATTCACAGGAAACTACTGCTAAAAATCATTTTGAAATACACTTCTGGCCAACCTTTGAGTCGATCTTTCTATTTCTAGGAAGGTTGGATTAATTACTGTTGCTAAGTGTTTTATATACTGAGGAAAACATAAATTTTTGAGATATCAGCTATTTTAATTTTAATGTAGAAGTATTATAACTGTGGTTGTTCATAACAATTTCTGTTAAACTCAGATGGACTCTATTAATTCTATTAAATCATTGTTGAGTCTTTGACCTTCTAGTGTACAGTATTTTCTCCATACCAATGAAGAGTTGGAATAATGCTAAGTGAACTTACAAAAAGAAAGACTGATAATGTTGACGTCTTGGACCAATCACAATGTGGAATAAGATAAATAGAAAGCAGTGAAATGGGATTGTAAAGTGGAAGAATGTGAATACTGCAGAATGTGAAAAGGGGCAATACTTGTAATATTAAATTACTAGGATGGGGTGATTCTTAAGACCTGATGTTGTACGAATTTTCCAAAGTCCTCCCCTTCCCCCCCCAAAAAAATCCAGTGTGTGGTAATTTTTCATAATCCTCTAAACTTTTTCCATGGGCATTCCAGAGTCTTTTTACCATAAAACTTTATTAGAAAACAATTGGAATATTTGCAATAGCTTTGCTGGCCTTTGATACTTGGCTATATGAAGTTTTATAACCAACTTTGGAAATAGCATATAAATGGAATTCTAGAGTGTAATTTAGAATTTAACTAACCATATTATTAGATGGTAGATAGATGTAATTCTGATCCGTAGGGTCAAGTTCAAGCCTATGGAAAATGGGTGTTTCTTCCTTAATTTCATATAAAATTTCTGGACAATTTGGCTTCATTTTGTCATCAAGAACAATCTATAAAAACAGGATATATTTAATGAACATAAACTTGCAAACAGTTTGGAATAGAGTTATCCTGTACTCTTCTGCCAGCTATTCATCATCACAACTTCTTTTCCGATGTGGTCTTAAACAATTGTGAGAAAAGATTAAGGCTGATTTTTACCTTGCTAAAATTATTTAACAAAACAAAGAAAGAAAAGGAAAGGAAAGGAAAGGAAAGAAGGAAGGAAGGAAAGAAAGGCCGAAAAGAGTGTAAATAGTTATAGATGCTGTTGTTATAGTAAAAACATATGCTATGTTCTAGCATTGTGCAAAATCATTATGTAACTTCTGTTATAGTGGCTTAATGTATGAGCCTAGCCTAGCCAGTTTGTAAATTATGGTTTATATAACTGTAGTATTATATGTTGTTCAAAATACCACAGTTAAATGAATATATTATTAAATCAAAAGTAGCAAAGAATGTATTTTTTAAAAAAGTAGCTTTTTTTCAAATGCAAAGTTCTAGTGAATAATATAAAACCTGTCTTCCTTCAAAATATTTTCTATTTGATTTATAGAAAGTGGAAGCTCTAAATGTGCAAATAGTGCAAATGCATGCACCAGCGTGTTTTATTCCACTCCAAAAAAAAAGATAAATTCCGTGTGCAGATTATTTGTGAGTTCTTAAAAACTAAGTATATTGATTATTTATATTAATGGTATTATTTTTATTAAAAACACATTAAAGAAAAATAGATTCAAATATGAACACTGTTTCTGCAATTTTACATAAATGTGATGTATGAACTAGTAAATCATAATGATTCATGGCATAACCTACCTTCAACAGCTGCCCATTTCCTGTCCCTAAAAATAAAACAATCTTGTTTAGAAGCACAGTGGCATAAACTGAAACCAAATTAAAGTGACTCAGAGAAGTTGAGTTGTTGATTGGCCATATAACTTTTATCTGAAACAGAATGAACAAAGAAACAAAACTTTAGAATACATCATTACATCATAATTGAAAGAAGAAATATTCAGTAGCTGTCTGTGGGAAGATTAATTGCCACATTATATATTTTGGGTGGTGTTTTATCTCAAGTAGGCTTCAGTACAGTATTATTAAATTGTTCATTAGAATTAATATAATATATATTTAATATATTATACTTTTTTTAAAATCATCATAATTAGATCAGAAAAAAATCAGAAACACATAACCATTTATTGTACAAAATACTGCACATATTTATGAAGAAATAGCCATAGCTCTTGGCACTTTTCTTTCTTGATCATAAATTCAGTTGTATTTGCCCATCCTAACATAGCAGCAAGCATGTCCTTAGAAGCATCTTTTCTTAATTAATGCTAAGTGAATCCAAATAATTACAGGAAAACATTGCAAAAAGAAGTAGACCACATAAAGAGCCACTTTGGTCTAGTGCAGTGGTGGCGAAACTTTTAGAGACCGAGTGCCCAAACTGCAACCCAAAACCCACTTATTTATCACCGGGTGCCAGGTGGGCGTGGCCCACTAGGTGGACGTGGCTGTGGTGGTCATGGCAGATTGGGTGGGTGTGGCCAAGGTGGGCGTGATCACGTCAATGTTGCTCATAGGGAGTGACGCCTGTGGGGGCCGGGCAGGGTTGGGGGAGATCCAGGGGGTCTCTGGCAGGTGGGGCAGTGGGCAGGAGGCTTGTGCTGCGGGGTAAGGCGAGGCAGGGTGGGGGTGCCATTGTCACAGGGCAAGGTGAGGCAGGGGCCGGGGCAGCTGCTACCTGACACCATCGGCCCCTGCACACAGAGGCCAGTGAGCGCATGGGTGCTGGGATACATCTGGCCATGTGGGACCTCTGCAAGTTAGTGGGCAGCTGGTTAAAGAGGGATGGTTGCCATCTCCAGGGCATGGTGTGAGTGCCGCCTCTGGCATGTGTGCCATAGGTTCGCTACCACTGGTCTAGTGATAAGGCACCAGGCAAGAAAGCAGGAGACTGTGAGTTCAAGTCCTTCCTGAACCATAAAAGTCAACTGTGTGTCTTTGGGCCAGTCACTCTCCCTCAGCCCAACTCATCTCACAGGTTCATTGTTGTGGGGAAAATATGAGGAGGAAGGAGTATTAGATATGTTTGCCACCTTGAGTTATTTATAAAGCTAATAACATGGAGACCTAAAACATAAAATACAGAAAATGTGAAGGTCCAGACCACAAAAATACAAATATGTGTGAATTCCTTGCTCTCAATAATTTATTCTGTTTTGAAAGAAGATATTGTGTGATGGATAATGGCCAAGTGGAGCATTCTGGACACTAGAATCCCAAACCATCCAGTAGTATACATTTATTTGTTTCCAATGTATGGGTCACTTTTTTAAAATTTCTTTTTTCTTATGATGCAGTTAAATTTAATATTCATATTATGCCCTCAGTGTTTGTATGTTGCTTTTTCTTTAATATTTCACAGTGCTATCATTTACAAGAAAGTAAGAAAAACAGGAAATCCTGTACAAAATCTTTCATCTCCTTTTTTTGAAATGCCTTTTATAATTTCATTTTATGTGGCTCTTTGTTTCCAGGGCTCATGGAATCATAATAGAAAACCTATTTTTAAAAGACAGAAATCCTCTATTCTCTTTGGTTGGTATCAGTTCTGTATGTATTCCTTAAATTTCTATTTATGGTTCTGAATAATTATTTATGACAAATTTACTGTATTATTATATTTGTAATAAAGTTAATAAAAATCCTTCATATTTAACAGCACTATTAAAATTTGTCAGATGATTTTTTTATATTGCTGTAAGCCAAAGCGATGATCAATTACTCCAATCTCCTTCAACCTGTTTTACTATATTTCAGTTTCCATAATTCTCAGTTGACACAGAATATTAATTGGAAAAAGCCGAACTAGATTATCTCTATATTGCCTATTATCTATTACCATTTGGCAAAGTGGTTTTCTGTCTATAACCAACCGACACAACTAGGTTTAATAGTTGTTCTTAAGCTGTCCTTCCAACATTGTTTGTGATGTATCTATCAAGTGACATAGAAATATGCCACAGAAAAAGAAATACACTTTAATATGATCCTTTATGTTTTTGGAGCATCTGGCATATCGTGCAATGCATCTCTGTTTAAGCCATGACAACTGCCATAACTTCTTACCCACTTAAAGGGGAAAATAACTTTAATACCAGAGCACCTAGGGTCAACCTTAATCTGCCTCAGATATGGATTGGGGATGAGATGAAGGTAATATCATGAAAAAGAAAGAGAAAAGGGGGGGACATGCTGGTGCTTGCTGATGTCATGCTTAGGTCCAGTCTAAATATAAAAGACCACTCAGAGATAATTCTCTTTATGTATGGTATTTTCCAGTTAAGCCATATTTTCACAGTTCATTACGAAGTCTATGATTTAAAGAGAATCATCTTGTCAGTACCGGCACGTCCCAGTACAATTATGATGTTGAATAAATGACTGGGAACAGAAGACAGCTGCTCATTTTTGAAGCACTACGTTCTCGATAAAAATACTTTCCCATTAGGCATCAAAAAAGTGTATTATTATCATGTCACAGAATCTAGATACACAGCCTTCCCCCAAGACAAGTAGACTTAAAACTGGAGAGACTGGATGTTTAAGTCTAATTTAAATAGATTTAAATCTGGGAAGATTCATTATCCTAATCCTCGAGCCAAATATTTTTGTACAACACCACCTGCTCTGTCACAACGTCACCAGCTATGTTTGCTGCTGCCCTCAGAGGCCATTGAAATAATTGTGGTCCTTGTTCAGAATAAAACTGTAAATCCTTATCCTACAGAAAGTCCCCAGTCTATATTCCTCACCTTCTAGCTATCTGGGTATGACAGTATATTAAAAGTATCAGATTATAAAAGGGTGATTTAAAGTTAAACTCCCAAGAGTCTAACTTCCAGAGGAGAGAAGAAAAATAAGACCAGGTCAAAGCCTTCTCAAGGAGGCCTTCCGTTGGTCAGATAATGTCAGTACCTCTTTTCTCTCCTATGTTCTGGTGACAATGGAAGAATAGAACCACACAAGGGGTTGCAGGCTAGATTAAACCCTAAACCAAAGAGGTCCTATTACAACTGTGTTGTCTTAAAATAAGTTAGTTAATACTGTTCCTCCGGATATATCAACATAATATCCGAGAATATTCAGCAGTGATGAAGTTTGATCAAAATTCTAAAAATTGAAGTCCACACATCTGGTTATTCTTATTTTTATTATGATTCAAATTGGCTTTAAGATAATCCTGGATGCAATAGTGGCAAATATCTGTAGCTTGGGTACAACCAAGCTTGTGGGTTGGTTTCCAAATGTTTTGTTACCAGGGTAGGTAACATCTTCAGCAGAGTTTAGGGGTTGTCAGTGTCAGTGTTCCTCTGTTTATAAGGGCTTTGTGTGGTCAACAGGTGTGATGAGTGAGGTGTGAGTCATCAGTGGGAGTCTTGTGATGGGTCTTGTGATGGTGAGGTTACATCAGGTGAAGGTCATTGGGAGGTGAAATGCTATGGTGGGGACTTGCTTGGGTTGGTTGAGGATTGGTGCTTTCTCTGGTTGGCTGGGCAGTTGATTTGGATTCAGAGGGATTTGTAGGTTGATTGTAGGTCAATGTGTTTATGAAATTGATTGTGGAGTGCCAGGCTTTGATGAACTCAGGAGCATGGCGGGTGGTAGTGTGGCTGATGATTTTTGTGTTGCTCCAATCGAACTTGTGCTGTTTGGTATCAGTGTGGGTAGAGATTAAGGATTTGGGATTGTGGCATTTGATTGCCAGCCGGTGTTTGGGGATCCTGGTTTTTAATTGATGTGATGTTTGTCCTACATAGAATTGGTTGCAATTGTTACAGTTGATTTTGTAAATTACATTGTTTCTTTCATCCTTCTGTATCTTGTCTTTGGTTCTGGATAATTCCTGGCAGAGTGTGGCTGTGAGTTTGTGGGCTGTTGCTATTCCTAGACATTGGAGAATTCTGGCTGTCATTTCCAAGACCCCTTTTGTGTGTGGTAGGGTTAGTTTTTGGTGGTAATTGGTTGTGTGATGTATTGTGGTTTGGGTACTGTATGTCGGAGTATGAAGTTTTTGAATAGCCGTTATGGAGAAAGACATCAAACAGCCATTTCTCTTCCATTTTTTTCAGTGTTGTGGTGCTGCAGAGTGTCCTGGCCCTTCTGAACAGGGTCTGGACATAGCTTATTTTGTCTGTGGTGGGGTGGTTGCTTGTGAAACTGAGGATCTGGTCTATGTGCGTGGGTTTGTGGTAGATGCGGGTTTCCGGTTATCCATGGTCTAGTCTCCTTATGTCGATGTTGAGGAATGGGACTCTGGTGTCTGTTTCCTCTTAGAGTATGAATTTGATCTCAGGGAATAGGTTACTGAGTAGGTGGTGTGTTTCTTCAATTTGGGAGCTTTTGATGATGACAAAGGAGTCACTGATGTAGTGTATCCAAAATTTTGGTTGGATGGTGGGTAGAGCTATGGATTCGAATCATTGCATGGCTGCTTCTGCTATTAGGCCTGATATGGGTAATCCCATTGGGGTACCTTGTACTTGCTTATAGATTTTACTGTTGAACTTGAAGTGTGTGTTGTGTGGGAAGTCAGCCCTCCCAGAGAAGGAAATATTAAAAGGGCAGAATATATTTCCCTAAAGGATTTTAAAAGCAGAAACCAACCCTGCCCCCAAGTCTCTCAGTCCCAAGCAGAAACCAAGTCTGCAAAAATGCAGATGTGATAATCTTGTCAGAAAGACTGGAATCAGGAAACTGGGATTAGGAAGAAAGATCCCTAGAATCAACATCAAAAATCTAAGAGTCATCAGCCACAGCCACAGGGAAGCAGGATATGACCCTTGGGATATAATAGGATTAACCCACCATCATCAGAATACCAGAAAGGCACACTCAGACTCAGGTCAAAATTCATGCCACAGGAACAA